TGTTATTTGTGGATTTGCAGTGAACTGATTAAAAGAATCTGTTTTCTGTAATTGATAATTCTCGTCTTATTGAAGTTTTGTTTTGCTTGGAATATAAAGTCCCTTTTCAGCATAATGTTAGCCAAAAGCCCTCACAGCTAAAGCAAACCTTTCCAGAAGACATAACCTATCCCGTGTGCTTTTTAGGATAAAGTTATGGAATTCGCAAAACATCCAGAAGAGATCTGAACTAATCAAGACGTTGTCATGGAATAAAACTGTAATAAGCAGCCACTCTGTTAGCGGTTGGAAAATGTATAAGGTTAAAGATGTAGCTGAGAATGATGATAATTTTCCTTATTTGTATATTGTGTTGAGTTGTGTCCAATTATACTTTAGTTTGTTTTGGATGCTGGGGTGGGTGGAAGGGGAAAGACATTGACGATTAAGCTCCTTCTGTCTGAGACGCAGTGCTTACCTGAGAGGGAGGGGAGGAGAAAAGGTCTAACTGGAATAAGCAGTGTAAAGTGAGTTAAAGTGAGTTCACGGGCAGGGCGAAACATTGGGCAAGTTTTCTTACTCCACACGCCTCTGTTTACCTTGCAGTAAGTAGGAACCCGGTTGTTAGTCGATTGGCGGATCGCTTTTCTGGGGATAATAATCCCTCGTTATTTAAAAAAAAATGGTATCTCATTCCACAACTGTTTGTGAGACACTGCTTTGTGTCGCTGTCGTGTTTCACCCACAAAATATACAGTCAAAACACCTTACACTATATTCTGTGAAGTGCTTTGAGTTGCCTCGAAGACGTGAAGAGGCACTATATAAAATGCAAGGATTATTATTAATAAAACACTAGGTTTGAAATATTGACGGAATTCTTATCCACACACCACGTTTGCATCTCTAATTTCTCACTGAGCATTTTCACGCTTTTCTGGCAGAGATTGGTCCAGAAATAAGTCGTGGCTTCAATCATCTTTTTCAAATGTAGATTTTTGAGTAACGAGGCAGTTGTAAATTTTAGTTTATTTTGAATATTTATCTGTGACCATAGACTGCAGCCTTCACTCCTCTGCGTGTAATGTAAACAGTTGTTGCCATGGAAGGAACTTGATTTAATTCTGTTTAATCTCAGGAATGGGTTGATTCTTTCCCTTATGGCTGTTAGTTAATTAACGGATCACTTCCCAGGGCTAATAAACCCTTCAAAGAAAAAAATATAATAATTATTTGGTCAGTCAATCCACGAATGTTTGTGGGACGCTGCTGTGCGCAATTGGCTGCCGTGTTTCGCCCACAAAATATTACAGTCAATTCACTTTACAGTATATTTTGTGATGCGCTTTGAGACGTTGCACACAAGCCCCCAACAATAATAGTGTGACCTGAACAGCCCACCTGCCCCACTCTCTGACTGCACCACCTTGGATGGCAGAAGCAAAACCTGCGCCCTCCAGACACCAAGTATTGAAGGAAATTGAAGGTGGAATGTAGATTTAAGAGGGAATGGTCAGGCAGTGTAACGCAGACCTTACAAAATGGTAATCTACACAGTCCAGGTTCATGTCCCTGCTACATATATAATATTTAGAACCCAGATGTTTCCTCTCGAGATAAACAGGAGCTCTCGCCTCTCTGGTTTCAGGTTCAGATCAGATGTTCCAACAAAACAACAGTAATCTTCACTGAAATGACTGCGTGGAGATGTTCGTGTTTCTGTTTTGTTTTATGGACGATATATTAGTTCCTGATCAGCGCGCCTCCAGATTGGTGGCTTTACTTTGGAGTTGGAATATTTCACATGGAAGGAGGCGCATTTCCTTTAACTGGCGGAGATTTTGTTTTGTTCCATTTGTCTGCATGGTCTGGACAAGGACCCCTTTCAGAGAGGTCATTCTGCACCCATTACTGAGGGTGAATGTTGGCCATCACAGCAGCTCATGTTATAAAGAAAAGTGAGGGGAGCTCTAGGTGGGAGGGACAGCATGCACTGGACTTGTTTTGCCCACAAACTATCCATCAATTCACTCTACAGTATATTATGTGAAGCGCCTTGAAGATGTGATAAGGCGTTATATCAAATGGAAGGATTCCTGTAAGATTATGACAATTAGCTTCTCAAAAAAAGGGACTTCCAAGCTACAGTCTTTCTTCTATTCAGGTTGGAGTTATCATGGATCCAGCTTAATAAAATACTGACATCATATGTACCATATTAATGATGCATCTCAACCAGAGGAAGAATTTGCATTATTTCTCCACAACCTAGTTTATTGCTGGGACTCATCAATTGGGCCAAACCACTGTCATGACCAGTTCTCAGAAATACCCAACCTGAACCAACCCTAAAACATTTAGGATGTGGATCCTTCCATTTAGCTCAAGTGGCTTACAGGGAATATCTGGATATCTGTCCTCATATGTATGTGAAACAAAAATAAACTTTCAGCTGCTGAGGAAATATACTTGTAAAACACATCCCATAGAAATAGGAACCTTTATCAAACATTGACTACACAGTAAAACAGCCAGGACATCTCTGCTCCTTCAACAGTGGTCAGTATTTAACAGTTAGTAGTGTTGCTTACTTATTTTTGAACATGCAGGTTCATGCAAAGATGCAGGTTGGTTATTTTCTAACCAACCTGCATCTCTTCCAGTAGCAAGCTTCTCTACACACTAATTTAAACTCCTTTGTGGAGTCCTGTAGCTCAGTGGTTAGAGCATTCGTTTTGCAAGCGAGAGACCCGAGTTCAATTCCAGGCAGAGGGCGAAACCTTGGGCAAGTTTCCTTACTCCACACAGAGCCTAATAATAATCCCTCCAAAAACAATAATAAATTGGTCATTTTCAATCTACGACTGTTTGTGGGACATTGCTGTGCGCAATTGGCTGCCGCGTTCGCCCACAAGTATACAGTCAATTCACTTTACAGTGTGTTCTGTGAAGCGCTTTGGGACGTCCTCCCGACGTAAAAAGCGCTATATCAAATGCAAGGATTATTATTATTATAATTTGCCTCGTTATCTTGGCTCGCTCACTTTGCTGGGAGCTGAGGTTATTGAGACCATTCAGTCGATGGGTGGGTCCGAAAAACAAATAATTAAATGAGCATCATGTGTGCCCAGCAATGATGTAGCCTGCAGGGTAATAATTTTTTTCATAAATCATTCGAGTCAGCTGCTCCATTGTTTAATTGATGAATATCAGCAGACCACTCTGATCTTTCCCCCAGTGTGAACTATGCTCTGACGTCCATGTAAATTAACTTAGAAAATAGTAAGGGGAGTTTGCTGTGGTTAATATTTGGGTATTTCAGCTCCGTGAGATTTCATCGAACTTCATCGAACGAACGCAGAACCTGTGTGTAATTTTATTAACAGTCAACAGGCGCTGACAGCATCACCATCCATGGTTGCACACTCTACTTTGCTAAGCCAGTCTGGAACCTTGGGGTCTTGTTTGACCCTCAACTATCCTTTCTACCCCCACATCTGCTCCATGACCCTCTCTGCCTTCCCCCACCTCCGCAATGTCGCCCGGCGCCGCCACTGTCTCACACACAGGCCACCAAGACCCTCATACATGGTTCATTACATTGAGGCTCAACTATGCAAACTCCTTGCTTGTCGGCCTCCCCAACTCCTCCCTCCACAGGCTGCACATCATCCAGAACTCTGCAGCCCGCATCATCTCCCACACCAGGCTCCGTGACCCTATCACCCCCATCCTCGCCCAACTCCACTGGCTTCCCATCACACAGAGGATACAGTTCAAGATCCTGGTCACCTTCAAAGCCCTCCATGCTCGTGCTCCCCCTACCTCTGCGACCTCCTAACCCCTACCATTCTGCTCGCTCCCTCCGCTCAGCGGGCTCCTGTTGCTTCATGTCCCCTGCTTCGCTCGCCCCACTATTGGCGGGTGGACCTTCTGCCACTCTACCCCCACCCTCTGGAACTCCATCCCGCAGTCCCTCTGTCTCGCCCCTTCCCTCGCCTCCTTCAAGACCCATCTCAAGACCCTCCTCTTCGACCGTGCTTTCGATCTCCCTGCTTCCCCCCCTGCCCTCCACCTTCCGCGACCCCGACCCTCAGCTTGGGTCCAAAACTCTGTCTGTCCAGCGCCTTGGGGTGTCCTTCTGATGTGAAAGACACTATACAAATGTAATTTTGTCGTCGTTGTTTAAGGACAACTTTGCATATTCAAAGTATGTGCTCATCGACTAATCGTTCATTTGCAATTCATATTTTTGGCTTTGGCTTGCCATGAGTTAGGATCAAACATCTGAAACCAGACTTTGTAGGTTTTATTCTGTTTCTTGCTTCCGTCTTAAGTTTTAAGAGCATAACAGGCTGAGATCAAGAAGACAGCTGAGCAAACCAATTCTGTTGGGCAGTAAAGTCCTCACTTGAACCAAAGCGAATTGTTTTTTTTAAAAAAAATCACTAACATTTGCTTCTTTCGTCCGTTTTCCAGCCACTTTTTAATTATTCCATAATTCAAATAGAAAGCCCCACAGTTTCCTGGATCAGTATTTTTATTTGATAATGTATGTGGTTCTTTTAATGTCGTCAACACTATGAAAGAGAACAATCTATTCTTGTTATCCATCTTAAATTTATGATTTGATGTAGCTATTAAAGTGATTTGCATCATTTGGGATTCAGTGAATTATGCCTGATGCGTTATATTAAAACATCAGTAATAATAATAGTCCTTGCATTTTGGTGCAGCACTTTTCATGTCAAAGTGCTGTAAAATGTAGTGACTGGGTATTAGCAAATGTACCGGTAACCATTTTTCTATTGGAAAGTTAACCCTTACTGTAACTCCAATCTAGAAATATACAACCAAATCCACCATACTTAAACTACAGGAAAGTCCTAGTTTTTTTTTTAGCTCATCTCAGTCAAGTTTGCAGACAATGCCATACAATAAGTGTAAATCTTGATTGCCTGAATGAAGAATAAGGGTACAGTTGATTTGAAATGAAATAACTGCGTTTACATTACTTACAGACACGACTCACCATTCCGGCTCTGGGGTCGCTCGCCAATATTACACGCTTCCAGCCAGCAGTCATGAAAGGCGGGTGCATCCCACGATTGCTGAGCCCCCGCGCTTTCACTCTCATGCCAAAGGCAAGAACATTCGCCTGGACTCGAACTTTCGAAAAGCCACGCGGAAAAGCAGCTTCTGCAACGGGATCACCTTCAGCAGCCGCCCCGTCCATCTGTACGAGAAAGTGAGGCTGCGTCTCTCAGTGGTGCTTCACGGGTGGAGCGGTGCTCTGCGGTTTGGCTATACAAGTCACGATCCCTCGCTGATGAATTCGGCAGAGATCCCCAAGTATGCCTGTCCTGACCTGGTGACCCGGCCTGGCTACTGGGCAAAGGCCTTGCCTGAAAGGTTCGCCCTGAGGGACAATGTCCTGGCTTTCTGGCTGGACAGACACGGTCGAGTATTTTACAATGTGAACGACGAGGATCCAATCCTCTTTCAGTGCGGCATTAATGTCTCGGGGAAACTCTGGGCGTTGATCGACATTTATGGAATTACACAAGAAGTTCAAATGCTCGGTGAGTGCCTCAACAGTTATTTATATATATATATATATAAAAAACTTCAATTTTATTTTTACAGAAATGTAAGAATTGGGACAACTAATGGAATGATTGATAGTTAACTTCTCACTAACCAGCCACTGATCATCCCACAAACCCACCATTATCAGCAACCGTTAAACGGGATTCTCAGTCTAGTAAGTGAGATGGAAGGGGAAGGAAAAATAGATACTTTCTCGCTCACAGAGCAACATTGATGATGGTCTCTCGATATTCCACGAGTCTCTGTATTCAGTGAGCAGCTTTTCTGTTGGAAGAAAACACCTGGTTAACCCAGGAAAACCATAGACAATTCCACGGCACTATGTAAGACCTACATCCCTGCTTTTTTTTCCCCTACATATTTTAATAGATCTGCATCCCAAGTATCTAACAGTATCTTTCTCAAATCCCTCAGTGGGCTTTTCTTCCCTGGCACAGATGTGGTGCACATTCCGAAATCTTATTATTCACCGGGAGACATTTATCCTTCCCTCCTGTCCTAACCCTTTTCTGCCTTTATTCTACGATCATGTCATTGAGTAACAGGTTACATGGAATATTTAGAAAATAAATTGTTGAAGATAAGTTCAAGACAAACATTCCAGTGACCTTCACTGTAAATCATGTGTCTGATGGCCAGCAGTCAAATAGGATTAATTAAGGTTTTTTGTGGGCAACATCTACTCATCATGATGCACAGTTTGAGACTCTTGGTCATGGGATCTTTGTGTAATGGCACCATGAGAGATGTGCGAGACCTTGCGATATGTCTCAGGGATGAAGCAGACTGTTTACTTAACAGTTGGGAGTTATAACACAGAGCTTCAGTGTTGTGTTGCCGTTATCTTTTGGTTTTATCTTAACTTTTCAGTATTTTGGACACACCAATGGCAGTCTGTCAAATGCTGGAATCCTGCCAATGAAATTTTTCCAGTTTAAAATGAAGTCCTACTTCTTTAGATTAGCATAAAGTTCAAATGGTGCAGTGCTTTTGTATGTGGGCTAGTTTGGAGACTGCAGCTGCAATTTCCAGTACATTATGGGACATGGGCCAGACAACAGCTGCGATTTCTGGTACATTGTACACATTGCTCAAGGAAGTTTGAATTAAAAATTTGGAGTTGAGTTCCAACACAATTACATGCATTGTTTGTGAGTATTGCTTTAACCAGCTTCTGGTGTTCAGATCAGAACAGGCAAGTTTAATCTGTCAGCCCATAAATGATGGAGATTTAATTGACCTGGGTTCAATTCCAGGCAGGGCGAAACCTTGGGCAAGTTTCCTTACTCCACATGCCTAATAATAATCCCTCAAGAAAAAAAAATAATAAATTGATCACTTCAATCCACGACTGTTTGTGGGACGCTGCTGTGTGCAATTGGCTGCCGCGTTTCACCCACACATATACAGTCAATTCACTTTACAGTATATTCTGTGAAACGCTTTGAGACGTCCAGAAAATGTGAAAAGCGCTATATCAAATACAAGGATTATTATTATTACAAGGTTCTGTCAATGTATTGGTGATTGTACCACCAACAAATACAGGGAAGGGATCACCATGATAAAATGGCAGGGTGTAGATGAGAAAAAAAGTGAAATTACTTCCTACTCGACAACTGAGAATTAATAATATCACAGGACACTGGAGGTGGAATGCACATCCTGTAAGGCAGGAATAGCTGAATGGATTCTGTCTCCTTTTTGTTCTTGAATAAAAGTTTTTTTTTCAGTGTTGTTCAGCAGCTGAAAAGTCAGACCCTGGCAGAGGTCGTGCAGCTCAGCAGATGGGACTTTTTCAAATGAGGAAATCTCGCCCTCTTTTATGTAGGGTATTAAACACAAAGGTCTTACTGTGAGGACAGGTCGTGATCGAGTTTCCACCTTGGCACCAATGTTATTTCTGACATCTCCAGAGATTTTGTGCCTCATGCCACTCGCATTCATTCCTGTTTTGTTTTTCTGTTGTATTGAAATTTTCAGATGAATTACACATCGTAATTTATAAATCATCCCGTGTCCCTTGAAACTGCACATGGCTTCACAACTTTTTATTTTGTGGTCACACAGCTTCAAACACTAGGATCAACCGAAACAACCTCAATGTTATTTTCTGATCCTGCACATTCCTACATTCAGCTGTTCCACCCACACCCAAATGTGTCCCTCTGCCACCACTCCCTTTCCTCCATTGATATTCCAAATATTACATGCTCTGTCCCAAAGCAACGTACACACTTTGTTCTCCACCATTCTGGAGGTGGAGTCCTGTAGCTCAGTGGCTAGAGCACTCACCTCACAAGCGAGAGACCTGGGTTCGATTCCCGGCAGGACGAAACGTTGGGCAAGTTTCCTTACTCCACATGCCTCTGTTTACATAGTAGTAAATAGGACCCCGGTTATTAGTTGATTGGTGGATCGCTTTTCCAGCGGTAAATAATTCCTTCAAAAAAAAAGAATAAATTGTTCACCTCAATCCATGACTCTTTGTGGGGACGCTGCTGTGCGCAATTGGCTGCCACGGTTTGCCCATAAATTATACAGCCAGTTCACATTACAGTAGATTCTATGAAGTGCTTTGAGACGTCTCGCAGACGTGATAAGGCGCTGTATCAATTGCAAGGATTATTCTAAACAATTTATGATTCTATGTAGCACACTATCAATCAGGCTGTGTTATTATTAAGATCAGTGAGCGGTTTGGCCACAATTACACCATTAAATATTATGTCTGCGAAATCACGATCAACCCTGGTTAATGCTGGTCCATTGACCGAAAGATTCTTTGTGAAACAATCCAATCAATTTATGTTACAGTCACACTGATTTGGCTTTTTGAATCTGACACTGTTGAAAAAGTAACACAGAACAATACTTTCCGAGACAGCAGAACAAGAGGACATAGGTTTAAGGTAATTTCAGAACAAACGCCGGAAAGTATTTTTTAATTAACAACTGGAACAGGTGACCAGCAACGGTGGTTGAGGTTAGGCCAGGTTACTGGATTCATTGAAAAAAAATAGCTTGATGCTGTGACAGAGGATGGTTGCGTGGGTTTTCTGAGAGGATGGATTGAACTTCAGGGGAATGGGATTAGAGGAAATTTCAATGCCCCATCCGAACTTCACTTCTGATCTTGTGATTTCAAATATGTATACTTTTGTTCTGATTCCTGGAGGGCAAACACCATACAAATCTAGTGCCACCATTTGCCTGGGGAATTGTTGGGTGCAATGGATAAATCTGTGCTGATGGATTGATTTCGCCCACAAAATATATAGTCAATTCACTTTACGGTATATTTTGTGAAGCGCTTTGAGACGTCTCGAAGACTGGATAAGGCGCTATATCAAATGCAAGGATTGTTATTATCATTATTATTATTCCCATTTCATTTAAACCCAAAGGTTAGCCACCATTGATATAGACTACCATAAATCAGCTACCACAGCCTCTAACCTCAAATGGTAATATTCTTAACCTTGCAAATGCCTCCAACACCAATCGCTTTGACCTGATCAATGATTAGATACAGAAGCTCAAGAACCACTTGTTGTTTCTCACATTCCATTCCAAGGCTATCAGCTGTCATGTGAGAAACCGGACGCACACTTGGAGCAAGCAAGCACTGTCTGTCTCTGCCTCAATGACACCAAGTCCTCATCCTCGACCAAATGAGTTCTTTCATTCCATGGTGAAATGCTGCAGTTTATAGTCTTCTGTCAGTATCGCAGACAAGTCCTGGGTGGAAATAATGACTGTGACAATCACAGAAGTTTTACTCCATTTACTAGAAAGATTACTCCTGTTAACATACTGTGTGTTTATACATGAAAAATACTTTTGTTCTTCACTCTATATATTGGGGGTAAAGAGGTATAGTTAAGAGCATTGAAAAATCATTCAAAATGGGTTGAAATTTGCCTATAAATACAAGAAAGGTCCTCCCTTTCCCCACTCACCAATGCAGAGGAAACACCTGGAAATGCAAATAACAAATCAGTCCCAATGCACTCGCTTGTCACGAGTGATGACTGTCTGGGGAGAAATTAACTATAATTAGCGGGTACTTTTGATTGAGTTCGTGATTTTTTGACAGGACAGGAGTCTCCCAGTGGAACAGGAAAAATAATGTAACTATTCCTACTTTAACTTAAATTTCCTGGATAACTTACCAGTTGTTGAAAAATGCTTTAAATAAAGTCAAAGTAAAGCCACTTTAAGCGTTAGATCCTGTCAAGGGATCATTTTTTCTCAGATAACTGGAATTGGTGAGTTTAATGCTCGTCCCTCCTATAGGAGGCATTTTCAGACGTGTTCTTCACTCTTCAAGTCTATATATCGGGGGTAAAGAGGGATATTTTAGATCATTGAAAAATCATTCAAAATGGGTTGAAATTTGCCTATAAATACAAGATGAACACGTTTCCTGTAAATGACCAAAAGCCAAACTGTGAAGATGTGTAAATCTCATCCAGTTTCATCAGTTCAGTCCACAGTGACAGAGGGTATGACAAAACGTCCATGGTGACCGAGTGTCACTGATAAACAGCACAAGGTGACTGAGGGTGTGATAAACAGTGCTTCGAAATTCTCAGTCTTAAGCGCGTGTTCTCATGCTGCTGTAGCCAAGCCTCGGTTTGTATGGCTGTGACAGGACTCAAAGCATAGTCCACCCACATCTGTCGCCTGTCACTTGGGTTTGACTGACCAACAATAACGCTGTGGTAACAGCAAAACCAAGAACCATTTCCTTGTAGGAATTCATGCTTGATTTAGTGTCCTGCAGTAACTTCCCAGCAGTGTGATGGCCTTCAAATGTACCTCAGCACGTAGCATCCTGACATTAAAGATCATGCAGAGGTTTGGGTGAAACAGCTTTTCAGAACACTATCCCTCCTGTTTTGCCATCACGACATCAAACCCCCAAAACCTAAGACGTGGAATTGGCAAAATATCGTCAAAAACAGGAAAGAAAAAGTTAACAGTGCCCACACAGTGATACATTTATGAAGTGACGATGAGCCGGTGAAATTAATAATAATAATAATCCTTGCATTTGATATAGCGCCTTATCACATCTTCGAAACGTCTCAAAGCGCTGCACATTATATGCTGTAAAGTGAATTGACTGTATATTTTGTGGGCGAAACGCTGCAGTCAATTGCGCACAGCAGCGTCCCCACAAACAGTCGTGGATTGAGTTAAAGTGTTTGAGAAGGAGGTGGATAGGTGCTTTATAACTCATAGAAGGAGCATGAAGAGATGTGGAGAAAAGGCAAAAAATCGACATTAGAAAGATAAGGAACTGCCATAAGGACACAAAATATAGCTGTCTCGATGAACTGAATGAGCCTATAAAATACACAGTCACTCCACTATACTGTAAATCCTGTGAAACATTTTGAGATGTCCTGTTGATGTGAAAGGCATTGTATCAAATTATAGTTTTGTTCCTATATTGCTATCTTCCTAGTATGGATATTAGTTGTTGATAAACTACGTTCTTGGAGATCTGCTTTGAGAATAAGGAAAATGCGAAAGGGAAGGCAATGCTGAACTGACAAAGTAAAAGGCAAACAGAATAAATCCGGGCATTTAAGATATTGTTCATTATTTTCTGGAGAACAGAACCGCTTTTACTCAGCACCTCTCAACGACATCAAAATATAATTCTTATTTTAAATATAATATAATTGATTCTATAGGAAATGGGGAAAGAGCGGAGGAGTAGGACTGATTGGGTAGCTCTTCCAAAGAGCTGGCACAGGCACGATGGGCCGAATGGCCTCCTTCTGTGTGGTAATATTCCATGCTTGTATAATAATAGTATAATAATAATGATATGATTCTGTAACATGATATTAATTCGCTTTCTTCTTTTTACAGACAGCATGTTTGCAGAAACCGTCACGTCCGCGAGGCTCAACGCAGCGCGGTTAAGCAGTTACCTCCCGCAGACCAGTCACGACAACGCCAACTTCAACAACAACGAGCTGGAGAACAGTGTGGTGGTGGCTAAAATCACCAACCTGAACCTGAGAGAGGTCCAGGCCCTGGCACCGGACAATCAGGCCTTACCGTGTTGCGCCAACAGGCGTCTCCGCTCACGAGGCTTGCCCTCAGTCCTCGACTCCGATCTACACTTTCACCTTATTCGAGGGCCTGATGTCACCCTGTCACAGGACAGGATGCGCGCCTGCACAAACTGGCAGGAGAGCAACAGGACTCTGGTGTTTTCTGATCGGCCTTTGCACACTGGCGAGACCCTATATGTGGAGGTGGGTCACTTGGGGCTGCCGTATTATGGATCTCTGCTCTTTGGCGTGACGTCTTGTGACCCGAGCACTCTGCGAGTCAACGAGCTGCCAGCGGATCCAGACTGCCTGCTCGACCGCAAAGAATATTGGGTGGTTTACAGAGGCTTCTCAGTGCCCAACAGTGGCGACGTCCTCAGCTTCACCATAATGCCCAACAGCGAGCTTCACCATCGTGTGAACGGCACAAACATGGGCATGTTGATCTGTGTGGACACCACGCAGTCCCTTTGGGTGTTCTTCAGCTTACACGGAGTGGTGAATCAACTGAAGATACTTGGTAAGCAAGCAGTGCATCGCTAATAATAATAGTAATAATAATAATCCTTGCATCGCGCCTTATCACTTCTTCGAGATGTCTCAAAGCGCTTCACGGAATATGTTGTAAAAGGAATTGACTATATTTTGTGGGCGAAATGCGGCAGCCAATTAATTGCGCACAGCAGTGTCCCACAAACAGTCGTGGATTGAGTGATCAGATTATTGTTCTTTTATTTATTTATTTAGTTGGAAGGGATTATTTCCCCCGGAAAGCGATCCGCCAATCGACTAACAACCGGGTTCCTATTTACTGCTGGGTAAACAGAGGCGTGTGGAGTAAGGAAACTTGCCCAACGTTTCTTCCTGCCCAGGAATCGAACCCAAGTCCTCTCTCTTGTGAGGCGAGTGCTCTAACCACTAAGCTACAGGACTCCAGTCTAATAGCTTGCACGTGGATTCCCTGTGTATAACTGTGGGAGAGACGTGATGTTCCACCTGTCTTTTGCATTCTTTGAGACATGCAATTTGCTTTGTTGGACATCAGATTTTAAAGCCTTTAATTGTGTGTGTTTCGCATGTCGTACTTAAGTTTGATATCCAGACTCTCTTCAGTGCAGTGGTTTCTGACAATTTGAAATCTGTTGATATTGCCAATTCTTCATAGTACCACTATTGAGTCTTTCTCACTCTCAAACCCTCTCTATCTCTGACTTTTAAAACTTTTTACAACTGGGTGTGAAGGGCTCCATATAAATGCAAATTTGATGTTGTGGTATTGAGTTGCATGAAATATTCTTATTCATGCTTGTTCCACGACAACCTCATAGTCTTCACATGTGAACCCAGTTCCTGTCGTTCATTCCTGTACTCTGAGAGCAATACTCAAGTGTGTTGGGAGCAGTAACTTCAAAGTAAATGAGAAACATTCTCCTTGAAAACTATTTACTGCAAAAAAAATGTACAATTTGTGCCCTTTGAAACTATGGTCCTTTCAGATTTTTTTTAACAAAAAACAAAGTGCAGTTGTTATTTGGCGATATTTCAATCAATGAGATTTCACTCTCTGTTACACTTGGCTCCTGGGAACCAATCTTAAGGGTTTGAGAGGAGCAGTAATGTTTGCTATTTGTGCTCTTTATTATGTTTGAGAATAAGCACTCAGCAATTTGCTTTGATGTCTGAACATCATGTCTGTGCCAGAAAAATAATACAATTTAAAGTGTGAAATTGAAATCCCTGGAGGTGCAAATACAATTCTTTAAATCACCACAACTGGGCCAAATGGTAGAAACTGGCCGGTTCTCCAATGTACGATGCAGTTATATAATCCTTGCATTTGGTATAATGCCCTATTATGTCTTTGCGACGTCTCAAAGCACTTCCCCGAATGTACTGTAATTGACTACATTTTCTGGGTGAAACGTGGCAGCCAAGTGGGCACAGTGACATCCCACAAACAGTCATGGATTGAGTGACCAACTGATTATTATTATGTTTTTTGGAAGGGACTATTACCCACCGGAAAAGCCATCCACCAGTCGTCCAACAATCAGGTTCCTATTTAATGTTAAGCAAATAGAGACGTGTGGAGTAAGGAAACGTGCCCAACATTTTGTCCTTTGGGCAGTTTGGGCCGTTGCTTTCACAAACTGTAAGTCAATGGCTATTGATTAAATCTGCTGCTCGGAGCAACACAACATTAGCACTATGCTCTCCATAATGCACTTGTTTTAGATCCAGACTCCACTGAGACTCTGCAGGTTGTAGAATGTAGCAGGAACGTGTAGAGATGTGACTGACCCTTGTTGTTCTCTCTGCAGGTACCTCCCAGGCCAGCCCTGTGGATGTCTCTCCCTCAGGTTCCCCAGCTGGTTCTCACTACGACAGTGACTCTGACATGGCCTTCAGTGTCAACAGGTCATCATCTGCATCAGAGTCGTCACTAGGTGAGGAAATTAAACTTGGAAAGACCCTATAATAACAATAACGATAATAATAATAACTTACTTGTTTTTAATGTTTTAAGCAAACTCTAGAAAACATTGGTAAGATCTTAATACGTTTGTAATGCTACCTGAGGATTTGGACACAGTTGTGTCATCGCTAGATTTGGTAGATGGGTTGAAAATGTCATCGCTCTGTCTATATGTGTCCTTTGAGTTTGGTCATGTTCCAGTGAATGTGGGGACACAGAACAATGAACCCAAACTCACCGAGAGAATAACATGGTTAGTGACCATTAACGAGGTTGAGTGGTGAGTGAAACATTTCCCACTGTTGCTTTGTGGGTGCATCTCTCGTGGCTGGAACCATTGTTAGTGATCAAGTTAGGACCTGAGTTGCTGTCATCTCCTTTCCCCCCTCCCTCAGTTTGGAACTGAAGTCAATTGTAGTGTCTCTATCATCAACCCAATGAGATCATCTAACTTGGACAGCTGCTATTGAGAATCTGGCCTGAATGTCTTTACCAATTGCCCAGTGGTCTATCAGTGTAGCTGAATTGCACACACACCACACACACACATCCACAGGACAACCTTTTATCTAGCCGTTAATTTCAAACAGTTTAGGAGTTTCTATTTCCTGTTATTTGCTTGTGATGATGAGCTGCGTTGAGCTCTCTGTGTTTCAGAGCGTAAATCGAGAGCGGAGTAACAAAGCCGGTGATGGTACATGTTTGGCTGATTTCTATAGGAGCAGCTTATCTAGTGACTCACTGACTGGAATTCTTCAAGAAAAGGCCATGGTTGATGATCACATTTTCAACTCGTTTCCTGTTTTTGCATTTGGTTCATTACAGCAGCAGGATCAGGCACTTCTGTGCGGAATTATTGGCAAGGCAGGATCTCAGTGTTCAGGACTCACAATGTGGACAGGCTGCATAGAGCAATAGGCAAAATGGCAAGGGATCTTCCAGACAGATACCAGCAGTTTTTAACAACAACTTGCATTAACATAGCGCCCCTCACACAGGGTTAGCGTCCTGGAGCGCTTGACAGTGGCGGAGTCTGACAACGAGCCAAGGGGAGAGGGAGGGGGGAGGTGACTGTAAGCATGATCCAAAAGGAAGGTCTTTAGGTGGGATTTGAGGGGGGGGAGGGAAGAGGCGAGGCAGAGGGATTAAGGGAGAGAGTTCCAGAGCTTCGGGGTGTAGTGGCTGTAAGCACGATTTCTGTCCGCAGGGTATTGCTGCTATACTAAAATGCTAGTGCTTTTCTTTGAGCCAGGTTATGAGATTTTCTTCCAAACAATCTCCCAAATAAAAATTGGTCACGCACTTTATGGCTGTTTGTGAGACGTTGCTGTGTGCAAATTGGCTGCCACTTCCCCCACCCCAAAAAAGTCACCAGACTTTACAGTATATCCTGCAAAGTGCTTTGAGACATCCTTCTGACGTGAAAGACCCTGTACCAAGTGGAAGGATTATTAATTAATTTCTTTGTTGCTTTGTACTAGCTGAAATCAACAACAACAACTTGCACTTAATAGCGTCCTCCACGCTTAACAGTGGCGGAGCCTGACTCTGAGCCGAGGGGAAGGGGAGGTGGCCTTAAGCATGGTAGAGGAGGAAGGCTTTCAGGCGGGACAAGGTGGAGGGATTGAGGGAGAGTGTTCCAGAGTTTTGGGGCATAGTGACTGAAAGCACGACCTCCGATGGTGGGGCGGAGAGTGCGAGGGATGAGCAGGAGGCCGGTGCCAGTCGAGCGGGTGGGGAGGGAGGAGGTCGGAGAGGTAGGGAGGTGCCAAGGAGTGAATGGATTTGAACATGAGCATGAGGATCTTGAGGTTGATGGAAGTTTTGGGCGGCAGAGTTCTGAATGAGCTGGATCTTTTGACTGCTAGAGTTGAAGAGACCAGGGAGGAGTTTGTTGGAGTAATCCAGGCGGGAGGTGACAAATGCTTGCATGAGGGTTTCGGCTGCATTTGGGGTAAGGTACGGTCGGAGATGGGCAATGTGGCGGGGGTGAAAGAAGGCGGTCCTGGTCAGGGACCGGATGTGGTGGAGGAAGGACATCTGGGGGTTGAACCTGAGGGAGAGCCCAGGGAGGTTGAGGAGTTTAGATCCGCAGGAATGAAGGCATTGACAGGAGCCAAGGAATATGGCTTCAGTCTTGTCAATATTCAGCCGCAGGAAGTTTAGACACATCCAGGCCCTGATGGCTGCCAGACAAGCTGATAGAGCATCAGCGGACCTGGAGTTGGTACTGGAGGAGGCAAAGTAGATTTATGTGTCATCCGCATACATGGGGAAGCTTACCCCATGTCTGCGGTGACATTGCCCAGAGGGAGCATAGAGATAAGGAAAAGTAGAGGGTCAAGGATGGAGCCTGGGTTACCCCGCAGTTGACCAGGCGAGGGCGAGAGGAGAATCCATTTGCTGAGATGAAATGGAGGCGGTTGGTTAGGTAGAACTTGAACCATGCAGAGTGCAGTCCCACTAAGGTGGATGAGGGAGGAGAGGCGGTGGAGGAGGATGGCGTGGTCGACTGTGTCGAATGCACCAAAGAGATCCAAGAGGATGAGGAGGCAGAGGGAGCCCTGGTCACAGATAGAGAGAATGTCTTTTGAGACTTTGACAAGCGCTGTCTCTGTGCTGTGGGCAGTCAGGGCAAACACCTGACTGCAGGGGCTCGAGGAGGGAGTGGAGGGAGAGGTGTGACTGAAGTTGACCTGCAACAATGCGTTCCAGGACTTTAGCAAGAAAGGGTAGGTTGGAGATGGGACGGTAGTGGGAGAGATTAGAGGGATCGAGGGTGGAGTTTTTCATTAGGGGTGTGATGACAGCAGTGTACAGAACCGATTCGCCATGGTTAACAGAAATACTGCTGACAATAAATACAACTTAAAACGAAAGAGTTGAGATAATATGTCCTGTACAGCTTTGAAACCCAGTTATCTTAATCGTCAATCAATCAGGAACTTAATCCCTACACAAATGCAGCATATGTGTGTGTTTGTATTATGTAAGAACAGAAGAAGCCATAGAACGGGAAAAGGCCATTCGCTACCTCCAAAGACCACACAAAATCTACTGCATCTCCTGGGGAAATTCTGAGCTCGAGGGCAATCAGGATAGGATTTGAAACTCTAACCCTACATGGCTGAAGATCAACCACATAAATTCTTATTGCCTTTAGTAAGTCAATAGGATTTCAGTCTGTGACCACAAATGGTTTTAATGCAGATTGTAAAGGCTGTAGCGACTGTAAAACAATCACCAAATGGCTAGGAAATGTTTGTTTGAAATGCATTCTTCATTAACTTCATTGAAGAAATGCATTCTTCAAGACTGTAAGTTTAGTTTAATAATAACATCGGTTAGAAAATACATCTCTCAATTAAGATTTCCTGGGACACTTTTCTCTTGAAGTCCAAGAATAGTAGAATGATGTCAATGTGAGTCATATACAGAGCAGCAATCCACCCACGCCAATTAAGTTGTACTTCGCAGGGTTCGAGTTCAGTTAAACAGTGACAAAACCCCCTGCATGTGTACAGCGCAGGGTTTATTTTTGCACAAAACCAGATGTTGGCTCATATCAGTGATTGTGTAGATTGGGTTTCATTCACTCTGTGTTGAGGCCAACAGTTCTACTTGAGTCAAATCAAGATGAAAGTTTTCTCAGACCAGGGTATTGATTCCAGGCAATCAATACGCCCGCCCAGTTGGATTTGTGCTGGAGAATTCAGTATCAAATTGCTGGTGAAACAACCATATTAATCACTTCTCGTTATCAACTTCAACGGTGGTCAAGGTTTCAGCATACAAAAGTCAATGGCATTCCTGAATCAACTGCTCTCAAATTATTTCACCCACAAAATTCACTTAACAGTATATGCTGTGAAGCTTCTTTGAGACGTCTTGAAGATGTGATAAGGTGCTAAGGCATTATTAAATGCAGATTATTATTATTGTGGTGGGCAGCTACCAACATTGTAAAGATATTTTGTTAATCTATAAAGGACTGGTTTCCTTGAGCATAATGCAAACATTGAGCTAAGGGTGAAAGTTTATCGATAGCAGGAGAGAGGAACTGTTTTCTGTCACAGTTCATCCATAGCATGAGAGAGAGAGAGAGAGAGAGATTGACTTCTTTCAAGCCGGAGCTCTCTGTTCTTCTCTAAAATGATGAAACACTTTAAAGATCTAAATGTTTAATCAGGCAAGATCGCAGCATAAATCTGTCTTGTGCAAAAGTGTACGTAGTAAATGCACTGTAACCAAAAGTAGACAACGTATTGGCAAGCTCACCATCAGAAGTACCATAAACTGAAGGAAATCTGTCAGTTGTAACCGAGAGTTCTTATAAGACAGTTGTGCAATTTCATAATATTTATTTTAACTCAACGGACACTGCTAACAACAGAGTAACATAGTGCACAAGCACCATTCCTCTGTAGTGAAATCTTAATCCCCGTTATAACCAAGAAGAAAATTCCAATGTTTGTGCAAGTAGATACTCCAGTTGTGTGTAATCTTGTCAAGCAGTAATGTTCATGGACTTCATAGCTTTACTTAAACAGAAATAGACACTGAGGTTAAAGACCATGCTGGATGTCATGGGAATTTTACAACCGATTGTAATAATGCCAAAGCAATTTCCTGAAGGATAACGGGTTAAGAGAAGTTCATTGGATGGTAGATGAGATGTGAGCGCCATCTAAAGGATGTTTCACAGGCTTTTCTCTTGAGGCGATTAGATGTCTCTTATTTCATTACCTCCTGCTTCTGTTACTGCAGTTATTAACTGGAATCATTTTCCATATCATTACATTAAAATTCACGTACATTCTGAGATGTTCACAACTAGATCACAATTAACGGTGTGGTTTGCCCCCAGTTTCACGTGAGTGTTGAGTTTACTTTGTTTAGCTTAGCATCACTCTGTAGCTAGGGAGACTGATGTAATTAGACTGGAGTCGGGAACACTAGTGAGTGTGAGATGTCTAGGGTTCAGCATCACAGCAGCTGGCCTTGATCGTAGAAGACGATAATCTGTCCAATATGTTCGTCAGAAAATAGAATAATGAAGAGAGTTTTGTAATTAGAAATCTTCAGTGGACTAACTAACATACATTACGTGCCAAATCGCCCTCTTCATTGAGAGTTTTCGCCCATAAATATACAGTCAATTCACTTTACAGTCTATTCTGTGAAGCTCTTTGAGACATCTAGAAGACGTAAAAAGCGCTATATCAAATGCAAGAATTAGTATTAGGTGAAAATCAGCATCACCTCTACACCACCCCTTACTGTTTGTTGGTGTAGATCAATATTCTCAAGGACATAATTTTCTGAATAAAATTGATATCTTCAAAGCCCATTCATAAAATTGAAGAAAAACAATGCTAGACCATCAAAAATGTTCATGTCATATAGTGGCATTTGATGTAAAAGAGTCCTCTCAAAGTTCTTCACAGCAGGAGCACTGAGGAAAGCATCAGTACAATATAAAGGCAATGGTCAAAGAGATATTTATCTAATGAACGTCTGCAGCAGGAGAAGAGGTGACAATGGTGAAGTGACTTGGAAGAATAAAGACAACAATTACATGATATTCGCTGAATCTCTTCAATCTAAGCCATGAGCTAAGGTCTTAAAACCTTCACGAGTTGGAAGAAGACAGCTGAGAAAAGTCAATATTGAAGTAACTTTTTTTTATATATGATAATTTCCTCAGGGCTGAAATAGTGCTTTGAATGAATGAGCTATATAAGAAAATAGTGACAGCTAGAAACCAGTTTCCCACAACTGTCTGAATCTAGTCGGTCGGCTTTGCTATTGTAACTGTAAGATGGACTTGGTGTAACATTTTTACCCAACCATTGACAACTCCTTTTTGCTATTTAAACCCTGGTTAATTTTTGCTGCACTCTTTACATCAGTGCTTTTACTATGACGGTATTATATGATACACCGTATGTATTCTGCGAAGCGCTTTTAGAGGTCTCGAAGACTTGATAAGCTATATCAACTGCAAGGATTATTATTATTATGATGATGATGGTTATGGAGATCAATTAACAGTCATGTTGTTGTCTTTTCCCCGCAGTTACTGCGCCCAGCTCACCTCTCAGCCCTCAGTTCTCCCCGTCTGTCTCTCCACCCGAAGCTCTGAGCAGTAAAAACGGAGAGTGTACGGTCTGCTTTGACAGCGAGGTCGAGACGGTTATTTACACCTGTGGACATATGTGTCTTTGCTATGATTGTGGTCTTAAGCTGAAGAAACAGATCAACGCCTGCTGCCCGATCTGCAGGCGAGTCATAAAGGATGTCATTAAGATCTACCGTCCATGACGCACTCTCTCAACAGGACTATTTCTTGATCTGTGTTCTCTAGTTTCAGAAGTAGACTTTTTATAGATGGTTAAAAGCTTCCTTTATCGTTCACCCTGACTTCAGTTATAAACGTTCACACGGTGTGGCTATATTCTGTGACTATTTCCCCTCAGTCCCTGTTCCGTCTCTCCATCCTCTGTTCCCCCCTCTCCCCACATTACTATTATTAATCACCTCGGTCCCAGAAGGCAGGAGGCACTCTCTCCAGTGCTTCTCTTCCTCAAAGCATCTTCTATTTTGTGATCACCGTACAAATCCACGTCAATCATTGATTCAGACCAAATACAATGAGAAATGAACATCTACCACAACTATTGCCAAGTCAGATAGAGTCTGCAATAGCAGTCTTGATGCCTGGAATTGTAATGTGGTAACTTTCACTGAGATCTGTTGCTCAGAAACGGGTCTTTCTCCAGCTCTGAGACACATTGTTGGTCAAAAAAACATAATTTTAGCATTCATTTGAATCCTAATTACAAAAGCCCTTTTTTTAAGCTAGAAAATAACAACTTGTATTTATATAACGCCCTTCATGGGGAGCAGTGTCTTCGAGCACTTAAAAAAAAACTGAAATGAAGACGTGGATTTCCCTCGGTCGAATCGATGCTGTTACGCACGCTAACATCACTGTTAGTGGGATTGTCACCAATTTGCCATTTGCAGGATTGAAGCTCCATTTTCTTTTCTTTTTTCTGGAGAAACAAACCGTTATCTTTACTGGAGGATTTGGGGAGGTCAGTGAGTTCAGCGGAATGATTAAAGTTCCAGTATCACTTCTTGTTGGCATAACAACCTCGAGCTTAAACAATCGCATTTAAACCAATTGCGACCGTTATCACCTCAAAACACTACTAAGAAATTCATCCTTTCACACTTTATTTCTTCTTTGCTTTCCGATGAAGGTCAATGAAATGTGACCTTTTCTGTTCCAAAGTGGGCCCCAGTTATTGACTCCTGATGATTGTCAGGTGAGGTTAATCCTCTTATCTGCTTTACCAGGTGATTTCAAGATTGGTTTGAGTTCTCTCTGACCCTCTAATTAAGACTTTCCACCAAAGGCTTGAAGCCCTAATTTGCCTCACCCCTTTGGACATCTCTCTGTAACCCAGCATCAATTGGGTTGTCTATGGTAGAGTCTCTGGATCCTTTACCTGCTGCTAGAAAAACAAGATGTGAAATCACTATGAAAAAAATGGGTTCACAGATTACCTTCAATCACAAAACCCATATTCACCACACTTTTCAGAAAATGCTATGAAGCGCTTTGAGATGTTTTCCTGATGTGAAAGGCTCTGTATCAGATGCGCACGTTATTATGATTACCGTCAACATGCCAACAAAAAGGATACCACAACTTTAACATGATGATAACAAGGTGAGGGTTTAATGCTGGATTTTTTTTTCCTCTGTGGTGATTCAAAGATACAGGTGCCTTATATAGGAAGGTGGATGCACTTTTTTTCTGATTCCCTGTGAACTTTGATTGCCAGTGATAGACTCACTGATTAGTGGTAAACTAGCTTTATAGGAATTATGTGATAACCACTAAAATGTTTTCCTTTTGATAATGGAATGAGAATGGTATGTAACACAAATATATTTAATATCTTGCCTAATTTGCTGACTTTGTACAAAAATACTTACTGTTTCCTTAGCTTAATGTTTCAATATTCATGTCGCAAACCATGAACGTCAATAGACACTTTGTACAAATTCAGCCCATATAGTGTAAACATTTTGATTTGTTTTTGCACTTATTTTAAATGTTATATTTGTTGTCCATTTATATATATATATATGTGTGTGTGTGTGTGCGCGTGCGTGAGTTTCTGCACTGTAAATGCAAAATTTGATAAATTGGTTACAAAAAAGGTAATAAGACATTATCCATGATTTTCTAGGGAGATGGCCCCCTTCTATTTGAGGCCTGACTGGACAATCATTGAGAGATGAGCAACAGCCTTTCAATGTAGCTACAGTTAGTTAGAACATTTTGTAACATTTTATTTTAAGTGGATTCGAACGAAGCAAGTACGCGATAAAAGGGGAAAGAGCAACAAATTGTGATTAGAGTAAGAAGTAAGATCTGCTTGCTTCTTTGTTTACATTTTGTTGACGGTTAGTCAGATTGTAAAGCGAGTGAGTTTGTCTTTGTTATGATTAGTTATTATGTTTGTCGATGAGCAAAAGGTTCTCGAGTGTTGCATTATTCGCGTGGCATTCAACTGCAGCAATCTGAATACTGGACATTGGGAAATGTGTTCCCTACGTGAGGACATCTACACTTCAGGGACACCGCTGGAACTGAACCACAGTTAGATAGCTATGAGAAATGATGAGATTAACTACAGCTTTTCAGCCGCAAATTGAGATGTCTCAGACGAGACCTTTTAAGAGTATATAAAGTACTAAATGGCTTAGAAAAAATGAACCCAAAACGTATGGCAAAGCATCACAAAAAGAGACTGGATCAAGCATGTGATGGGCAGATACTATGAAGTATTTCTTTACACAGATGGCAATCAACATGGAACAAGTTACTAGGAAGGCTAGCTTGGGCCAAGACGCTGACTTTTAGCTGCAATAGGAAGATGGTGGTTATATAGGGAAGATGAGATCAAAGGGCCTTTTTCATCCAAACTTCTTGTGGTGACATCAATTTTGCTAAACATAGTTAAGTACTATTCAAACACTGCTGAAACTGTTAGACAGAGAAAATATCAATCATGCAAGCGCTATTTCACTATAGTATGCTTTCCTGTAGATTACCCAGTATCTGAATTTGTGGGGTCAGCCAGATAAGCGATTAATATGAACTAGCTTTGGAACTTTGAGCATTGAGTCTATCTGGAAACAGATGCTATTCTGTTAGCAGGGGGTGGGCTGGAGGGAACTGGGCGAGTCTAGCTTTCTGTGATTGGGGATGTGGAATCTTAACCGGCATCATCCTTTGTAGAGGAGACAAGTTGCCCTCAGTTTATCCATGGTTTAGCGGGCATTTGTGCTGAAATCCTAGTCAATGTTGCATGTAGCGCCTTGAGTGATGCACGATTATTAGGTTAAATCCCATTAACCGCTGACTGACATCTCCAATGAGGCTACATAATAACGCCAAGCAGAATGTCAGCCCAATTATAAACTTCCCCTTTGCTGTAAGGTTAATAAGGGACGACCAAAGAAGAGGCGATCTGCTGACTCCAATCATGTCCAATCCTGTTCTTCAGTAGTTACACATTACAGTTGGGATCAGTTTATCACATTGATAGAATGTGCAGGTGATTAGCTCTGCTGCACCTTCAGGTCAGACTTGTTCATGTTCCCTCTTTTAGCTCTAAAATAATGACAACACTTAGTCTCACAGAACCCAGAGTCTCAGTATACTGATGATTTTTTAAGAAGTTAATATGGAGAACGGCGTCTAATCTGCAGAACCATCAGTAACCAGTCGTTCTTCTGATGCAGATTTTACAGTGCAGCGATCAAATGATTTTCAACTGATCATAAAAAGGGCCGATTTATAAACAGTCTGATACTGTCAATAATAATAATCCTTGCATTTGGTATAGCACCTTTCACACCAGGAGCATGTCCTTGCACCAAGCACAGGTTGTACATTGGCTAGCTGGGACGATTGTTTCTGTAGGAGCAAGGCAGAGGTTAATTTCTATAGTATTTACCCATTTAGGTAGATGAAATTGTTGATGGGGAAGAGCAAAACCTGGATTTGGCATTTCCAAAGAGAAAACTGATCCACTTGCCTGGCTAAATCCCGGAGGCTATTTGTTCTATTTTTTTTCCATGTGAACAAAACTGCTTTGTTCTAATCTAGAGATCAAGCAGATCCAGAAAAAAAACATGATTGAATTTGCCAAAGAAACTCCTTATGTACAAATTGTATCTCTTCTGCGTTTTGGAAAAGAACAAAACAAAAAGGTAAAATGCACTAATATCCCACCACCTGAAATGAGAGTCGCCAAATCCAACATTTGTCTCATCCCTATTTGCTATCAAGATATTTCTATGAAAATTGCAACAATTGTTTTGCTACTATTTTGTAAATCAAAACCCGTTGATTAAGATTCTGAACAATAAATCTGGTTTGCCGTGAGCACTGAGATTTTTACTCAAGAAGACAGTCTTTTGCTGTTGTGAACAGTTACACAATTGTGACATTCCTTTGTTATGTGACCAAATGCCTCAATGTTGCTCATGTGCTCAGGCATATATAAAGTCTCTTTGAGACCTATTCTGTTGTATTTAGTTTTTGAGTGTTTTCATCTTAACCAATTCTCATAATAAACTGCTGTTTTCCACTTACCTGAGGTTCTCTCTGAGCTTTATCCCAAGTGCTCATCCCTTTAATTCGAGGACCAGCGAATGTGTTTTTGGGGCAAAGAGATTGGGGGGAAGTGGGGAAAACTATTTGGATTTTCAGTTGACGAGTATTGCAACTTGAGAATTCCTTTGGGCCAAATACAGTGTTTCATGTTTGACAGTGATTTTACTCAGTGGCTATCGCACAGAATTCCTCTTGTTTTTAATTGATTAATGTTTTCTTAGCTGACATCTGCTCAGCCTTTTAGCTTGCAAATTATGGTAACAGCAGAGGCCAGTAATCATCAGGTCTTTGGCCCTGTTATAACATTGGCAACAGATCAGATCAGAAAATGGCAACTTAATGGGTCAGGAAACGCCAGGTTTAGCAAGAAAGGGGTGAACATATATGTTTATTACTGTAGCCCTGTGGATACACTGTGTCATGACAATCTGATCATTTTGATTCAATGGTTTACAGGAATGCAGCATATGTTATGATTTTTTTTAAAAGAAGTATTTCCGGAGAGTACAATCATTCTGTTTGTCTGAAGTAAACACACAAAATAATCTAGATGTTCATTAATCATAAATATTGTTTGAATTTTGCAAACCAAACCAGTTTTTTTTAAACTTATTCTAGTTTTATGAATAGCATCCTGGGAACAAAAGTCTGTCTGCTTATAGCTGTGTCCACCAGCAGAATTAGAGCAAATTATTCTAAGTGAAAATACATGCATTCCAATCTACCTGGTACAATGTAATGTACTTTCCACAGATTTTTACATGGAGGTAAATATTATGCGGTATGAAATAATAATTATCCTTGCATCTGATGCAGTACCTTATCACAGCTTTGAGACATCTCAAAGCGCTTCACAGAATATACTGTAAAGTCAACGACTATATATTTTGTTGGTGAAACACGACAGCCAATTGCGCACGGCAGTGTCTCACAAAGTTCTGTATTTCACTTTCTTACAGCCGTTGTAAAGTTGCGAGAACTTGACAGGTTCCAGAGAACAAAGGTCCAGTTATAAAGTTCAAATCCTGTTTTTAACGCTCACAAAAAACTGGCAAAGAGTTCCATCAATCAGGGTGCATCGCCTTGTGGTTTGAGTGTTTTGACTGATAAAAATCGAGCTTTCCCAGGGACAAGTGCTTTGGTTACAATGAATGCATTGTGGAAGATACCAGTAGTGGGATTTTAACAGTGTTTTCTCAAAGGCTCACTTTCTACGTGGGTGTGTTTACACTTCAGTGTCATAGGACAGAAGAATTTTTATTTTGATTCCACCCGTTCACACCCCACCAAGCTTTCCCACAATACTCTATACAAGAACAGTTTAAAACAAAAGCTGTGATTTGTTTATTAATGTTCCACAAAATAAACGTTTGTAACAGGAGAAGAAAAAAAAACAGTTACAACCTTTTAAAACAAAAGGCTTTTTTCAAATTAAAATCGAGTTAACCATTAAATCATGTTGTTTACAGTAAGGAAATCTGAGTTACAGAAAACCCAGAAACATCAAGGTTAAAAATCACACAAATCAGGTCGCAAAGCAATTAGCTGCTGTCATTTCCCTTTGTACTGCAGGACATCTCTTGGTATTGCTCTCAGAAAGTCTCCTATTCGCAGCTAGCGTTGCTCTTCTCTGAACCTTGACACTGCACATGAGTATTGGAATAAGGAGCCATGCAATGTAAACCTATTGTCACATACCCTGTACTTTATTTGATCTCAAGTTTTCTTTGTGTAAATGTGCTTGTTGAGGTGGCACTGCTCATGAAACCCAGTAGGGTGTCAACAACAACAACTTGCACTTATATAGCGCCCTCTACACAAGGTAGCGTCTCAGACCGCTTAACTGTGTGAGCAAGTTTTGCCTCCCCCACCACCCCACGCCCTCCCCGACACACACGCACACACTGCTCTCACGATGCGCAGGAAACTCCAGAACAGTCAGTCACCCTCTTCCCCCAACAGAACACCTGCCTCCGTTACCTTCTGAACTTTCACTTATCTTTTCTCGGGATTCTCTGAGACAATCGCTGGGTGCTCACCCACACGCTAACGTACATTTTTTCTCACTTGACTTCCTCACTTTGAATTATCTTTCCCTTTCTTCACTTTCCCCCATCCCTCGGCCAGTGAAATCCATTCACAGGTCCGTTCATGGCTCATGACCTGGGAATGAGAACTTGTGAACCATTTCATTCTTCAGCTCTCTCCGGTAAATGAGTAGATGGATGACATTGCTTTCACTGCCATCTGGTCTCCAAAGCCAACTTCACAACCCAACTCTTCCATGATGGAAATACAGTAAAGGTCATTGTGAGGAATCTGAGGTTGTGTAAAGTCATTTAGTTACAGTGCCAAACAGACCTCTGTAATATATGTGTCTGGCTTAGGCTTTCACTCAGGGACTCGCTCGCCTGTAAAATGTATTTGCAGGCCTGTAATTTTATGAATATGATGCAATCTTTACTACTTTTCACAATTGATTTGGCACTTCACGTAAACCTAGTTAACATTGTTTGTTCACATTGCTTCTGACATACAGAGCTAGGCAGTCTGCTGGTCTGGCCTGCATTCCAGTAGCATTTAGCTGTACGCAATCTGGTCTAGTGCAGGTGACAATTTACACAAACCAGTGTGTAGACAGGCAGCACATGATTAAGTTTAATCAGTCATCATCTGCATAAAGTGTTTAAAATGTCCATTATTCAACCTCACCAATTAGTAGGTGTTTCAGACAGTGTTAAATGTTTCAGGACTGAGTTTGGGAAAAGTGTAATCTTCAATGTATTACACAAACATACTTTTATTGTTTTCTCACAATCAAATTTTATTACACATATTTAATTAGCTATGTTTGTATCCAGCTTCTTTGAAAGCCCCCTTCTCCCTGTGATATGTGTCAAGATTACTCCAAAGTGATTTGTGTTCCCTGGTATAATGTGAGGTAATTTGATTTCTTCTATTTTTGCAATGCTTTTGACTTTGGACAACTTTATTAGAAGAAGCCATGTTAACAAACACTTTTTTTAAAACATGTTTCACATTTCAAGTCTTTTGCTCCATAGTATATATGCTTGATACCAGTCAAGCTCTCACAAAGCAAATAAACCTAATGAATTCTACACTAAGTTACAACTAAAGCATTTAGGTAATACCGTCTAAAGGCCTCATGCGGTTACATTCATGAGGAATTAGTCTTGAGTATAGTCTGTGCAATAACAATTCTCTGCGAGGAGTGTTATCCAGTTTCAAGTCCATTAGAGTTCTTATTTCTTAATGTACGTAGTACACCCTGTTTTATTAGATCCCAATCTCCCTAAAACAATTCAATGTCACCAATCAATGGACTGAATCTTAATCAAATCCTGTTTTTTTTTCAAACCTTGCAAACTGAATAACCGCTCGTCTCAGGTATTTTGAGATGCATATTAAATGTTTAACTGCAGTTAGTTGAGAATATGTATTGAATACAGGATCCTATATAGCTCATTTCCTGAAGAGTGTTCAGAAGACTACACCTTATCTGTGATATAACTAATAGTTGTCCTTTACGTGCATTATATTAGTGACTAAACTACTCTATCTATTTTAACATAGTAGTATCTTTATGATGGCCTTTACTGAAGCAGAATATAACTAAAATGTTTTAAATTTACATTATCAATTTATTTTACTACAATACTATAAAACAGTTCTCGTATTATAAAAGAAAATGCAATGTATATAAAAGAAAATGTGATAACTTAAGGAACAAGAATATGTGTTTCACTGTGATTTGCACGATAAACTGCCTGCAATTAATACAAACTTCTAAATATTGGAACTTTCAGAACTTCAAGATTCAGGCATATTCAGCTGCACAGTTAACTAACAATGCAAAAAGTTCTTAATTTCTTGCCAATAAGATCTGACATTTGTTCTGCAATTGAAGAGTAGTTCACAAGAATAAGCTCAAATGTGTTGACCATTGTATTACGTCTTTCTTAAAAGTTCCAACAACCAAAAAAAAATCCTTTCAAATCATTATCGGTAAACTGAAGAGTGGCATTACCTGAAACGTATTATTAAGCAAAGTGTCACATTGTTTCTTCCCTCCTTTTTAACTGGCAGATCATCTCAATGATGTTTTTAAAATGCGCAAATGACTTAACGGCAAATGTGAAAGGTGCTCCATGCTGTTCCATCTTAGGATTTGGGGGAGAAAAACATTGATGGAATGTAGTTTGTGGCTTTTGAACAGGTTTAACCTATAAATTAACGACCCAATTAAATATTACCATATGAAAAAGCCTTTTGTGGTGTAAAAATAATATACGAAGAAGACACTTAACATTTTCTGGTCAGATAATTGGAAGGGACCCAGCCCTCCCAGGTTGGCTCAGGATTCAGAATCTTACAGTACCACCAGCCATTAATATTTTTCTCAAATAGTTCAAATATTGACCCTTCTTTAAATCCAGCGGTCTCATCGTCGCCCACAAAATCTGCGAGAGCCACGTAAAGGTTTGGCTTTGACAATTCCTCACCGAGGTTGACGGATGCAACATGAACCTTCTCTTTTCCCTGCTCAGATTTCTCCAACAACTTTTGCGTCTCTTTCGAAGGGATGACTGGGTCTCTCTTGTGCTCTTGAGCTTTGGAAGGAAGGGCTCCTTTTATTGCTAAGGCATCCTTCGGCCCAGACCTAGGTTTGATATCATCCTTGCCGTGATCATGAGGCGAGACAAGTTTGGGCCTGGGGGGAGGTATGGCAGGTTTACTTAATCCCCAGGCAGGTTTGTTCTCAAACGTATCCTTCAGTTGACCTGCAGATTCTACAGAGGATTTCTTTGGCAGCGGGGGTCTTCTGGGTGGGACCTGTGGGCGAGGTGGACCTTCTTTGTTGAATGAAGGCGTTTTCTTCAGTTGAGTGTCGTCCACTTTCTTCTCCAATGGTTTTGAGTTACTAAAATTATTTTTCAAAACCCCCGCTTTCTCTTGGGCAACACTCAGACCATTCTGCTCGACCTCAAAGCCGTTTTGCTCTCTCTGGAGAGCCCTGGTGGCATCGCTTCCCTTACAGCTCGTCCCTGAGCTTGGCTTCATCTGGAAACCGTTAACCACGTTTCCCTGGGAACTGCTGGAAGCAGGTGTGGGCAGGTTATTTGAGGAATTCTGATTCCCTGCGACGGGCTGGCACGAGTCCTGCTCTCCCACTTTATCCACCGCTTTCGCTCGTCTCAACTTGCTTCTTAGGTTCGAAATGTCGACTTCAGATTCAGGCTGTGCATCTCCCTTTGTGGAAGGAAATGGCTTTGGCCTCAGCAGAGGCCTCGGCTTTAAGGCCAGATTTGGAGACAATTCCACTGACTTGTCTTCTAAATCAGACTTAGATTTGGCTGGTCTCGCCACAGGCTTGAGATGAGGCCTCGCAACTTCACCTGCTGATACTTTTGGCCCAGCTTCGAGGCCTTTGGATTGAGTACTTTTACTTGGTTCAGCACCTGGCTTCTTATCTCCTTTCACTGGTCCCATTTTGGGCGGTAAGATGGGTAAATTGCCACCTGGTACAGGTGGCTTCGGGGGAAGACCTTTGGAATGTTTCTCCGACAATTCTGCCTCAAACTTACTGCTAACCTGTTCTTTCTTTAACAGAAAAAGCGGTTTCTCCTTGTTTAACTTAGAAACATCGGCAGTTAGTGCACCTGAAGGAGGACAGGGCTTGGCTTGAGATTCGGCGTCTGAGGATACATTGGATTTGTTGGCGGAAGGTGGACTTTTACTGATATCCTTTGTTCTCCAGTCCTTCAGCTTGGGGTGGGCGATAGGCTCGACGCTCTCATTGTGGTTCGATGCTTGCGGCTCTTTGGGCAACGGTCTGTTTGGAAATGTGCTTTCTCCTCCGTTAGTGCTGGTTCCAAAAGCTCCATCCGAAAGTTTAAGTTTCGTCAATTCTTGCGCTAAAGGCGGCAGGAAATTGGCTCTCGAAGCATTGCTGGTTTTCTTGTACTTGTCAATGAACGAGGCTGGAGCCCAACCTTCCTCAGCGTTGATCTGTATGTACCACCAGCCACTTAGATTCTTCTCAATCACCTAAGGTTAAACAAACAAAAAAAATTACTCTTTTAAACAGAGTTTTCACTCAAGTCTGTGGTGTAGACCAACAAAAATGTGACATTACTAACATCCTCCCTGTTCTCCCTTCCCTCAAACAGCAGGTCATACTTGGAATGACTGCACCAGCAACAACAACATCTTGTATATATCTTGTACAGACTATAGCCATCACAGGAGGAGCATCTCCCATATGACTTTGTTGGCAATCAGCTTGTAATGTCATTGCTTTCATCATCTTCCGTACCTTTGTTCACCTGTAATGTGTTCGCCAACAAAATATACAGTCAATTCACTTTTCAGTCTATTCTGTGAAGCGCTTTGAGACGTCTCGAAGATGGGATAAGGTGCCATATTCGAATGTGAAATTATTATTTTTTATTCTAACGTATTATTTTGGGGCACATTCACCAATAATTGTGAACCAACTCAGATTGCTAGAACTACAGCTGCTTCAAGCCTATTAATGTGCAATGGAGAAAGCTATCTTAGACGACTGGTACATTGACGTAAGACAGCATTTACGTTAGAAATAGTGCAGGACATGAGTTCGCGCCCACTTACCTCAACCTTTTCTCCTGCCTGAAAGCTTATCCCATCAGGAATGGTGGTCTGGAATGCCGCGATGGTATAATACTCCTCCTCCACCTCAGGGGGAGCTGGTGGTTTGGGCAGATTCAACCCACGTGGCTTTTTACATGATGAATAAGATTAAAATCCTTTGATTAAATGCTTGGGAGACTACAGCAATAAAACATCGCATTACACCAAAACTGTTAGCATTAGCAGTCTTACACACCCCATCCCGTTTCGCAACCCCCAAAGAAAATTATCAAAAGATTTTTAAAGAAATTACTGGCAACTTATGTTAGGTTCTGGGAGAGGTTTTTGAAAGTCAAGATTGGGGAAGATTTCACCGTGTAAAGCTTCCCGTACTCACCAGGGTAAGATCTCTGCGAGGTGGTGGTCTGTGCCTCATGCTGGGTAACTCTGTATTGTTTAAAGGAAATTGAATTATCATCTGGTCTACAGATAAGAGTCTGTCTCACGCTCCCTTTCCCCCGTTTCCCCCTCACGGCGAAACCTTAGGCATGTTTCCTTACTCCACATGCTTCTGTTTGCCCAATAGTAAGTTAGTTGATTGGAGGATCACATTCCGGGGATAATAATCACTCCAAAATAATAATAATTTGGTCACCCAATCCACGACTGCTTGTGCGGCACTGCTGTGCGCAATCAGCTGCCGCGATTCACCCACAAAACACGCTTTGAAACGTCTCAATGACGTGATAAGACACAGTATCAAATGCAAGGATTATTATTATTACTATTATTTTCACAGTGCTAGAGACATTTAACGGGACCTTTCCTCACAATGTGACATTTAATGGTCAGCTTCAGTTACGTAGTGCAGGTTACAATGGTAATTAAAATGGTATTACAAACAACGTCCAAAGCACTCCTTCCATCTCCCAGTCAGTGGGAGCGAAGGCGCCCAGGACTGCACAGGAAGGGGAGCAACAGTTTTGTAGGCGAAATCCATAGCAAAACACTCTACATTCTACCTTCCACAACCCAAAATCTACAAATGGTAATTACTGCCCTGTGAATCACCCACTGGAGAAAGGGAACTAGGGTCCTGTCCCGATCAGGACATTGTATAAAGATCATCACGCTAAGTAAAGTGAATTTCTCAAAGGTCAAAGTTTTCAAGTGATTTTTCCTCTCTGGACAATATCGCACTAGTCTGAATTTTCTTCACTTGTATTTTGCCCCAAATCTCAGCCACTATGTATCCTTGTAAACCCCTCTATTGGTTCTGCTCAATGAGAGTTTCCACAGGTACAAGAAGCAAAGCAACCTCCATCAGTTCAAATAGTATATTTACCAAAGCATTTCAGTCAGTGTTTTGTTCAATGCTGTACTTACTCCCTTTAGCATCAGACGGCGCTGCCCCTCGCAATTCTAATTTCCCATCTTTTTGGTCAAATAAGGCTGCCTTGTCTCTGCTATCTTTAGAGCTCGGCTGTCTGCCAATTGCATCGAGGTCGGTTGCGCTTGAATAGATAGCTTGCCCTGAGGTTAGCTTCTGACCCAGCACCTCATTGGTGGCTTTCTTCAAGTACGAGGCTGGAGCCCAGCCCTCCTGGCCTTGATACCTATTGAGGAAACAGATGCACCTCATAAGATACAAACCACAGATCAAACAAAAAATAATAATAATTTTGTCACTCACTTCACGACTGTTTGTGGGAACACTGCTGTGCACAATTGGCTGCCGTGTTGCGCCCACAAACTATACAATCAATTCACTTTACAATATATTCTGTGAAGCGCTTTGAGATGTCTAGAAGACATGATAAGGCTCTGAATCCAATGCAAGGATTATTATTATTATTAAACCTTGTTGGCCACTGAGACAGAGCTTCTACTTCCCTTCGCAACTTTACAATTAAAGTTGGATTACAAGCTCTGTAAATAAGCATTCTTTGATAAAGGATCTTGATTTGAAATTAAAATTGCTGCTTTGCAATTTTTTCCCAAAGGTCTGTACAAGAATCATCGACTCTTTGCAAACAGTTCCAACCCTTTGTCTAACACTATCTTACAAAACTGAGTGCGAGTTGTAACGACACGAGCATTCCTGATTTTACTGTGTTTCCATGACACACCATTACTGTACCAAGAGGACAGGAAGGTTAGTCATTTTCTGGTTTGTGTTGAGTCAATGAACCAGCCCTTAAAAGGTGTTTGATCAATTGTTCCTCTATCAAAGAACATGTGCAGACTTCATCCAGGGGCTCCTTCAGTAGTGCTTGTTGAGACTGTAAACTTATAACAGGATATGAAAGTCCTCCTTCTAACCTGTAACATGAAGCTTTACAATGATACAGTAAATCCCTATAAAAGGGGGAACAGCGACCTTAAGAGGGGGAGAAGGGGCCTGAATTTCAAAAATTTCAAAAATAAACAAATGTTAATCTTCTCTCAACTGGGTGCATCAAAAGTTACACAATATTCTGAGTAATTTCATTTTACTGCATTAATCATATCCCTTGAATATAATGACGCCAACAGGTTATGACTGAAACAAAACACAGCAAGACCTAGCACAAATAAAGGCCGAATGAATCATAAATCTTATACAATTTGAAGCCACTGTGTGGCAGCATTTAATAGCGAGCAATAGTTTCATGGTAAAACTAGCTCATTTCAAAACATTAACAAAACGGTCGTGAACAATTTGCTTTTAGCTGTCGTATTTTTGGCATGTAAACCCACAATGAGCAAACAGGGGAATCAAATCAATCTTCAACCCCACATTTCTGGCAATAATTTGCATTAGAATACAACACTTTAGGGGAAAACTCTTAAAATATGTCACTTTCTGGCTGCAGATGGCGATGTAGCACATCTATTACTTCTCCTGCATTTCAGTTTCAGCTCAATAACAATTGTAAACTCCAATAAAGATTATTTTATCCAATAATAACAACTCTATCAAACTGTCACCTGTGGGTGTCTCACCCTTATTCAGGGGTGAGAGCAGAACCTCAGAATGCAGAGAAAAAATTTTTTCCACCAACAATGTGTTTTTGTTGTCTCAATGTATCACTTCTCTTTTTTGATCTCACTGAAAACTGACTGAATCAACTCAAAATGGGTTGCTTGGCCATCATGATTTCATTTGGATTTCTGGGGAACGTGGGAAAGAAAGAAATGACAACTTCCGGTATATTTTTATATTGATATGTAGCATTTACGAAGCATGACTTAAAGCTACTCTTCCCCGCACATCTGTTAACGCAGTGACTCATTGCCCTTGGGTTGGTGTTTGCCCAGCTTATTGTGATGGACTCTGTTCAGCTAAAAGGAACCAGAAAATGGAAACAACACCCTGACATTAAACCACTTGGTCATAAAACTTGACAAAATAGAAAATACATCAGCAAACTCAGACGCAATCTCCCCCTTTACGCATCTGTCCGCTCTTTAACCATTGAGTAAGATTTTTCTGCCCACATCCTGGTTACATGGTTTCGCTCACAAAACATACAGTCAATTCACTTTACAGTAATATTCAGTGAAGTGCTTTCAGATGTCTTGAGGATGTGGTAAGACGCTATATCAAATGCGAGGATTGTTATTATTACTATTGCACAAAATTAAAACTAAAAGCATGTTTGTTTACAACCTGGAATGAAACGTTGGCTCCAAAAGGGACCATTATGGTGTTCAGAGTACAACACTGCAGGAAAAACAACGATGGAACATCCTCCAGCACTACATAAATTACATTAATGTAAGGGCGAGGGGACCTTGAGTCACAGTAAACCTCGGCAGCTCATCAGAGCATCCAATTACCTGATCTTCCACCAACCTTCCAGGTTCTTCTGTATGACCTGCACCATCATACCTCTTTCCAGATCAATCTCATCATTATCCCTCGCAGAGTACGGATAAATGACCACAAAGTTCTCCTCTGAAAAAGAGCAAGCAAGACGTCCATTCATTCATTCACCACGGCACGTGCAATTGAGCGAGGACACTGTGACCAGTGTCTAGATGCTAATACAGCACTGGAGTACAGTTAAAATGTCTCAAAACTCAAAAAAAAAATTTGGAATGAATGTAAATGCTCCTGTAAATATCTAATGGCTCCATTGATGTAGAATTTTACTGTAGTCCAGTGGACTCAATGGACTTGTATACTGACAATTCACTGCAACCTTTGTTGTGTGACTTCATGCCATGTGGGTGGGTGGTTGGTGAGTGGGTGGGGGGGGGGGGGGGGGGCGGGTGAAGAGGAGGATGAGAGAGAAGTGAAAATCAAATGGTCAAAGCCGCCAGTACAGTGAACACTGAAAACCATGCAGATTTTCAATTAAAATTTCCACTGCCCAGATATCATGGTACATTTCATCGCAAAACTAATAAGTCGCTGTGCCACAGGCTTGCGGAAAAAAGCCATGCCATTTGCTAAGGAAAGCAATTTTGGGCTGTTCTTTGCAGGAAGTCATGTCAGCATTCTCCTGTTGCCAGAGCACTTAGAGCCTGCTGGCAACTGTGAAGACACATACTGATTTGATTACAGGATACAACATTGAATTGAAGCTCCATTTAACTGGCTAAAGACTTCAACCCAAAGAATGCTCGTTTTTAATTTGACCTTGACAGTAGCTGTGGCTATAGCTGAGATGCAAAGGTTTTACAGCAATGTGAATTAACAGGAGACACAGAGAAGTTTGTTTCCATTCAGAGCAAGTGCTTTACAAACAGGTCTACTTTGCCTGTGGAGCACAAGAAAGAATTCACTGCATGTAGGAAATATCCAGAATCCACAGCTTTTTCAGAAGTGAATCCAAACCCTTTTTTCTTTTGCTCGTTGCTGCCCGATGGCAAGAGTTAGACAGGGGCTGACCTTCTGCTGAGAGTGTCTACGTGGCTGTATCGGGGGATATCAGCCATCGATTTTACAAATGGTTGAAATCTGGATGTGAAAAGTAAAAACTTGAAATATAATATATCTTTTAACAGATGCCTTGAAAGGTTGTCCAGAAATCAGAGCTGCCCCACTAACCACACCCACTAATTTGGACCTCACGTGAAGGCAAGATTCAGTTAAGGTGAATGGAGTGTGGCTGATATTCATTCAGTTGAAACGCAAGGATGACTCTAATTAGAAATCAAGCAGCTTATAGCGATGGACATTGGCTCGATCACTCGATCACAACTAATTATTCTTTTCTAAAAAAAAGTTTTGCAGGCAACGATCAGCTGTAAAAGAAAAAATCGAAATCAATCTGCAAAATATACAAAAAAATATACAATGTTTCTCGCTGAAGAGGAGGGAATAAGTGGGTACCTCAACTCTATTCATTCTGACGTATTTGGAGGTGAATGCACTCTCTCACAGCATGTTGGGGAAAGAGTCAAAATCTTTGGCGAGGTGAAGCCAATGTCATTCATTTCATTATCTAATGTGACAGAGATTTCATGTAATCCGGATCTTGCAATTGATTCAGTGTCCTTCATTGCTTAGAGTGCTGGTTACTTACAGGATTCAGTTGCCTGTGAAAACCAGGGACTGTTTACATTTTATTGGGGTCGAACCAATGTCTTACTTGCTGGATATTTAATAAATAATAATAATTTGGTCACTTAATCCACGACTGTTTGTAGGACACTGCTGTGCCCAATTGGCTGCCGTGTTTCACCCACAAAGCATACAGTCAATTCACTTTACGGTATATTCTATGAAGCGCTTTGAGAGGTCTCGAAGACGCAATAAGGCGCTGTGTCAAATGCAAGTGATTATTATTATTAGCGTTATTGAAATGTTATATCACAAGTCACAAGCTCACAGGAACAAACTCTGCTGAATAGGTTCATGCAAAACATCCAGTCAGGGGATGGGGACAGAATGTATGTGCGACACAAACAGAGCAAGCAACGACAAACACAGGACACTGTAACAAGAAGCACTCGTCTCCATCCACCTTGACCCCAGATACAGGTGTACAGGTCTCCTAACGTCTGTCGATAGCCCACGTTTCTTGGCAAAGACCAGTATCTCCTAGTGACTGAAAGCATGTTGAAAAGCAGGAAGGGAACGACAAGAGTATAAACAGCTCATTAGCGATTCACAAACTGTGCTGTGATAAAACTCTTTGCTGTGTGCATTCCTCAATTCAGTAGAAAAAGTCGTAAAGCACAGATTATTCCCATTACAAGAAAACCATTGACAAAATGGTACAGGTTAAATCTGAATATTATTCATTGACAAATTTCTTCTGTTAATCTACCTTTTCTATATATAAAATATAATATATATTTGTATTAATTAACGAACTGTGAATGGAGACAAAACTACTCATGGTCACAAGGGAGCAAAACCAAAAGAAGTGTTACGAATGGTCCCAATTAAGATTCAGCAAAAAGCTCCCACTTGTTTTGAAGTGGTTAAATGTGTCCAATAAAAGCAAATCCACTCACATTCCCTTGCGCTGTTTGTACTGGGAGAAGCTATTTTAAATCATTTCCATCAGTAAGGGGATTTGGGGCCGGATATAGTGCCAAACATTGAGGGAAGTCTGCACACACACATACACACACACACACGTAAGCACCAGTTTCTTCAAAGGTACGAGACTTTAACGCAGTCCAAATACGATTCGCAATGCCTACGTTTATTACTGGCCATCAATCTGCTCACTATCCTACTTCCTTGCAGTGATTTTGGCAGGCAAATACCAGCACCCTGTAATCCAGTAAACTGCACCCAGTCTCAGTCATTGTCATTTTGCTTTTGCCTTAATTTGGCAACTTGCAACGTGGAACCCACTGTGCAAAGCTCCTTATAAACTGGGCATTTAAGGGAAGGCCCATTACCTGATTGGCCAACATCAGTCAAAATAAACACAAGAGGGAAGCTTTCTGTAGCACACTCAGCCTAAGTATCTCAGAAATCTTAGATTGGTGTGTATTAAATTGTCTTTGGCCACCGATTCTTTTGTCCAACGCAATTTAACTCAAACTTAAATTAACAAGGGTTTTACCGCCACTATCGCTGGGTGTTATTTTTGTATTTCTTATCTTAATATTCTTTCAAATTCACATAAATAGAAGTTAACACCCATTAATGGACCCACTGCATTGAAGCCAATGATAATACTCTTCCATCTGCAGCTCATTTATCAGGTACGAGCAGCTTCCCTGATGGCCCAGTGAGGATCTGAGTCGCCAGCTGGTGAGGTCCTGGGTTTGATCCTCAAGTGGATCCCGAGTTCCCGATCTCAGCCAGGCCAGACACAGAGTCATGACAATTCCCTCTCTACCCTTAGTGAGGGAGGTGGGGAATCAGCCAGTGTTCCTACTCCTGGATCACTGCCTGGAGTGTGGGTCATCTTAAGTGCTGTCTTGGCCTGATTGAGGTTTTTATAAAATAATAAAGGGATCCAATAGGGTTGATACAGAGAAACTATTTCCTCTGCTAGGGGGAAGCCAGAACAAGGGAACATCATCTTAAAATTAGAGCTAGGCCATTTAGGAATGAAATCAGGAGGCAGTTTTTCATCCAAAGGGTAGTGGAAATCTGGAACTCTTTCCCCCAAAAGGCTGTGGATACTGGATCCATAAACATCTTGAAGACTAAGGTGAATAGTTATTTGTCAGATCAGGGTATTAAAACATACGGGGCAAAGTCGGGTAATTGGACTTTAGGTACAGATCAGCCATGATCTTATAGAATGGCAGAACAGGCTCGAGGGGTTAAATGGCCTCCTCCTGTTTCTATTTTTCTACAAGCCAATAGCCCACTGTCAGCCCTGAGGCTCAGTCACAGATAACAGCGAGGAGCTGGACAGCAAACAGTGTCTGTGGAACCATATCCCGGGGGGGAAAGGAACAGTCAAAATGCCTGTCACAAACAAACGTCAAAAGTAACTCAACGTGTGGTCCTCACTGGGGGCTGTCGCTGCCTCGCTCACAGAGCGGAGGTACTTGGCCATTGTAGACATCTCAGCACACAGGAACACACACGAACACAGCTCCCCTCCCTCTGCCTTAGCTGATTCCAATTGTTTTTTTAACAGCAATAAATAAAAAGCAAATGTCCTCATGGAGAGCTCACACCGGGGCAGGAATCGATGAGCATTTGCAGGGTCAGATTGTGAGGAGGTCACAGATTATAATCTCAAGAGTGTCCTTTCGACATGAAAGGCGCTATACAAATATAGTTTGTTGTTATTGTTGAACCGATACACAGGAAAAAATTAGTGTCTGAAGCTGTAAGTTGTTTTTTTAAATTGCAAGCTTTTAAACAACTACTTAATTATAGTTTGTTAACGCTTCAGTTTGGTTTAGTTGAGTATTTTGATTTGAACATAATAACCAACATTTAACTTAATCTTAATAAGTGCAATAAAAGCCTTAAACACAAGTGTGTGAGATTATATGGAGTTTATCATAGCAAATACAGAAGCCTGGACTTGTACGATAACGAGCGTAGAGTATGTGAAACGGTGTAGGTTTTGGCAGCTTACCTTCTCCTGGTTTGGCACTGACAACCAGAAGGTCATCCTGAGCTCCATCCTGGGCTTCCAGACACGTGGCTGGGACCCAGCCCTGCTCATCAGCCGAGCTGACAAACCACCACCCTGCAACACAACAACAACAACAAATTACATTTACTCAGCGCCTTTCACATCAGGAGGACACCCCAATGCGCTGGACAGTCAGGGATCTGCACTCGAACTGGTGGTTGGGATCAGGAGGGGTGGCGGGTGGGGAGGGGAGGGGTAGGAGGGTGCCCGAAGGCACGGTCGAAGAGGAGGGTCTTAAGACGGATCTTGAAGGAGGTAAGGGAGGGAGCGAGGGGGGATGGACTGTGGGATGGAGTTCCAGAGGGTGGAGGCAGAGAGGCTGAAGGCCTGCCCGTCAATGGTGGAGCGGGCCAGGTGGGGGGACGTGAAGTAGGCTGGAGCCCGCTGAGCGGAGGGAACAGACAGGTTGGTAGTCGGTTAGGAGGTCACAGAGGGAGAGGCTCAGGTAACGTCCAAAGGGCTGAGTCGCTCTTTCACCTAACATTGTAGCTCAGTGGTTAGAGCACTCGCCTCACAAGTGAGAAACCTGGGTTCGATTCCCGGCAGGGTGAAACCTTGGGCAAGTTTCCTTACTCCACACGCCTGATAATAATCCCTCAAGAAAAAATAAACAATAATAATTTGGTCACTTCAATTCACGACTGTTTGTGGGACGCTGCTGTGCCCAATTGGCTGCTGCGTTTCTCCCACAAAATGCAGTCAATTCACTTTACAGTATATTCTGTGAAGCGCTTTGAAACGTCTCAAAGACGTGAAAAGCGCTATATCAAATTCAAGAATTATTATTAATATTTATTGCAGCGTCAAAGTTACTGTCCCTCCCCGCCCCACACCTCAACCCCACCCTGAACTGTAAGGAACTGACTGATCAGAGCAGTGCAAACCCCACCGCATAGCGGCAGCGATTGTTATCTGTTCACAGAGATACAGCTGTCTGTCACAAGGTCAGTATGGAAACGATTGCTTGGCACACGGCTAAACCAAAGAAGCTTGAATGACAAGTCGCAAAGACACAAGCTTTGTCCACTTGATCAAAGCGAGTCAACACGTTCACCCTACGGTCAGCTGTTTGTCTCACTGTCGCAGTCTGCAAACTAACTGGCAATGTGTCTGCCTGTTTGTTTGTCTGTCTGTCTGTTCAGGATGCAAACCACTTGAGGTGCTGAGGAGGCAGGTTAGAAGGTGTCGGGGGAGAAAAGAGTTTTAATTGTAATCTTGCGCGACTGCAACTCTTACCAACCGTGTTAATCGAAGCGATTAACACTCAGGTTACCAAAGCACAATTGTTTAACGCTTACTGTAATTATCCACTGCAATTCATCAACACAACTTAACAAGAAAAAGATTAGTACATATCTTAAACCGTAGCATCAACAAACGATGAATGGAATATTGCCAACAGTCTAGACTAGTTTCCTGACAGTCCCGATTATCTTGAATCTGTTCCATGTTTATGTCAAAGCTCTTCACAGCAGACTGGCCCTCAACTATTTCCTTCTGTTTGGACAATACTATTATTTTACAGTCTGACTTTTCCACACACAGCTTTAAAAGGCAATACTCGGCCCTGATCTGCCAAAGCCAAGCTCTGTGCACTCTGTCCTGATGGGCTACATTTTTATTTTGTTTTTATCATATAAACATGTTCGACATCGCACAAGATCAAAATGAAAGCAATAAATCAGGAAGGTGCGTACCCTGTCACAGCAGGTCACTGCGTCTCTCAGTATTTCTGCAACAATGCTAGGTTACTGGTGTAGACTCCACTTCCCCCAAAGCATTCATTAAAAACATATTTATTGTGCTGGGCCATTGCATTGCATTAACATTTACATTATAATTACATTGTAAGATCACAAGAGGTTTGGATGAAGAAGATCCTTGAGCCCTTTTGATCTCAACCTTGCCCCCAGGTTATCCACCGCGCCCCCAGATTACTCGCCGCCCCCCCAGACCACCACCGCCCTCCCCGAACACAGCCGCGAGTCGAGTCGTTTCTATAATGGGTCCAATGTCCTGGCTGCTGACTGGCAATCAGCTGTTCCATGCCCTTATTGATCATGGGCATTCAATAACGGAATCAATTACAGCTGCTGAGCCAAATGAGTCACTTTGCAAAAACTGGAAGGAGTTTAACAAGTGACACTGGAGAATCTGTTGGTGAAGAGCTTGATCAGTTAGCTCAAAGCTGCTTTTTCTATGACACTCAGCGTCCACTTGTGCTCTCTAGCCACAAAGCTCTGACATAGAAGATTATTAAATGGAACTAAGGGAATATTCATTCCTGTGCGGATTGATGGGAGCTCATCCATTATAGGACGGTGACCCAAGTGAGAGCTTGTGTTTGAACCATGTTTACCGGTTGACAGGAAACAGTCTTTTAATCAAGGCTTTCTTTTCTTGATTTAAATCTTTTTATTAATTTTCGAGACATGAATCCCCTACGGAGCATCCAGAAGTGAATTGCAGACAGCCAAGAAGTCAGTGAGTTACACAGAGTAAAATACGCAGTGGGTCTGAGATGGATGAACCTCGTGAATAAACTGAAGAACATAAGAAATGCCAGACAAAAAAAAGACCAAGGTCCATCTAGTTCGCCTTCCTGGCAGTCACAAGCACATATGTCCCAAACTCCCTTTCTACTGTATCCCATAATGATATTTCCTAAAAGAAAACTATCTAATCTGTGTTTGAAAGAATCAACATCTCCTGCTTCAACCGTCTCCCTGGAGAGCCTGTTCCACAGGTTCACTATTGCCTCACTGGAATAGTGTTTGCATCGATTCGTTCTGAATTTACCCCCCGTCAAACGCAGGCCGTGTCCTCTGGTTCTACTATTCTGGACAAATTGAAGCAGCCTGTCGCGATCTATGCCCTCTCCCCCAAAGGAAGCGATGGGACTCACCGGACTCATTTTTCTCGATCACTTCCACCACTTGCCCCTGGCGCAGGCCGATCTCTGTGCTCTCCTGCTTTTCGTAGTTCGTCACGGCCACGTACTGATCCAGAAAAAACTGATCGGCCGATGTCCCGTCACCACCTGAGAACAGAGAGCAGCTTCAGTGATGGGGCGGAACCCAGCCAGCAAGTACCCTGCCTCGCCCCCACCGTCACATTTGCTCGAGATGTCTCTGCCTCAATCCGCTCTGCAAGGGATACTCACGGAATTATCACTGGCTCGCAGTCGTGGTGTCACACCTCGAGTGGACACAGTCACATTAGGTGATAATGATAATAATAATCCTTGCATTTGATATAGCGCCTTGTCACGTGTTCGAGACGTCTCAAAGCGCTTCACGGGATATACCGTCAAGTGAGTTGACTGTGTATTTTGTGAAGCTGACGGACGTTTTGCGACGCAAGCGCTCTGGGACGCCAGCCTGCGTGAGGGGCGCTATTACAAATGCAAGTTGCTGTTGTTGTTGAAAGCAGCTTCAGTGTGGCTTGCATTCGATAAGCCTACTTTCTCCACAAGCAAAAGTTACTTCTTTTAAGTTTGCGAAAACAAACTCGTTTGGACAATAACTGATGGCCAGGAAACATGTCTTGTGACCAGCCAATGATATATTTAACAGCAACAAATAACCAGTTGCACAAGCACCAAATGTCCCACAAACAGTCATGGATTGTGCAAGACTATTATAGTTTCTCCTGATGTCGGCAAAAGCAACAATTGACTGCTCAATTTCATTCTCCAGGTTGGAACATAAAAGGAGTCGAAGGAAGAGACTGAGGATATAATCTCGATTAGCTTTGAAGCATTGATGACCACCATTGAAAGGAAAGTGAACTCTGCTTCTGCTCCTCCAGCCAGTGTCAGGAGATGAGCTGTGAAGTGAACTCACTGAGAGCTTTCTACCAAGCAAACAGCGTAAGACTCAATGCTAATGATATACAAGTGTACGAGAGACGATTACATCCATGAGACTGGCACTTTCATCTTCAGATTAGATGATTACTCACCAGAACTCTACACTAAAGCTGCCATTACAGACAGACAGAAATATACGTGCTGAAGACTTAAGTACAGGGATTGAGTCAACATCCAATTACACATCACCAGACGTATCCCACAAGTGAGACAAAATGACTATGTTCATGTAACCATTAGTGACTAGTTGATGATATATTTAACAGCAACAAATAGCCAGTCACATCAGCCAAATGTAGAATATCCCAGTGTTGAAATGAACACTGGGATATTCTACATTCCTAAGGTGATATCATCTTTGTTGCTCACCTGTCTCAAGTGGAATAAAATGTACAAGGATTTCCAGATGAGGTCTGGCCAATGCTTTATACAACAATATAACCTGCTTGAAATGTAAGTTAACCTTCTGCTAATGTACCCGGTGCTTTATTTGCCTATTTTACTGCCGTAAAGCAGGTTGATTCATTTATCCACATAATCCTTAGATCTCACCCCTGGTCAGAACACTGTGAAATATATCCATTTAACAGATGTGTCCTGTTTTGATTCCTCTCCGCTACACTTATTACTCATGGTATTATAAGACCCAAGATTAGACATGGACTGTCCATTTGGGTCATTGTCTCAAACCAAATCAGATCATTTTCCATCAGTTATAAAAAGATGTTAGGGAGAATCATAATAAGGTTCATTTGACGTTCGTTGCCAATTACTCCGGTTGTGCATTCATCAACCAGCCAATCTTATATTGTCCATTTATGTATCATGTGCCTACTTGAAGGATAAATTATAATAATAATACATGCGTTTGATACAGTGCCTTATCACGTCTTCGAGACGTCTCAGCATTGGATTCAGTTACATTACTCCCATTCACTGTCAAGTGTCCATTCAGATTGAGCGTGAAGTTTACATGTAGGGAATGGCCACACGGGGAAATGATAGGAGAGTGACCAGCACTCACACCATCACACCCAACTGAAGGGAAAAGGGAGTAAATCCTTTCAGGCAAGGAGTAAATTAGTGGAGTGGAAATTGGTGGAGGTGGAGCAGTGTTTTAGACACAGCTTGTAAATACATTTCAGTATGCATTTTGATTACAATTACGGACTTTACAAACGATTTGTCATCTTCGCGTGAAGAGATTTTGAATCTTCACACGAAGATAAGAAATCTCAGGGCAATCAGCCTCACGGAGCAACTCTCCTAAATATAAATTGGAACACAGGATAAACTCATTAACCCCAGAGGCTGCAAAGGTAATCCTTTTTAATGTGATGCGCAGTTAAATATATCCCCAAATGCCCATATAATATTATTACTGCGAGAGGAAGCGGAGGTAAGAGCAATAAAAGCCACACACAAAAAAACAAAAGCCGGCATTTAACAAGATAAGTCACGAGGCAGCCATGACCGAATATGTGGAAAAATATGCTTCTGCTCTCAATCAAACATCTGAGTCACTTCCAAACATCAAATGTCAGCAATCATTCTTAAACATAAACATGTGAAGTGATATTTCAAGCTAATACTTGAGAGGTACTTTCTCTCAGCTTATCTCCACTGGAGAACCAGTACTGGGGCTAACAGATCAGGTGACACATGTGCTTCTAGTTATTCTATAAAATAAAATAAATAAAGTAACTCCCTTACTGTGAAAATTGCCTTGATGTTGTGTGAAACCGCTTCCACTACCATGATTACATTCAGTCTACTCCTGTATTCTGGCTATTTATAAAGGTTCTGGATACACCCGAAGAATTTAAGGAAGACACCGATAAAGACTATAGGATCAATGTTACGTTTTGCATATTTCCCAATGGTGTAGATTAATCTGAACGCCCCATTGTTCACAGGGAGAATAACAACAATAATAATCGTTGCACTGAATATAGTGCCTCATCATATTGAGACGTCTCAAGCACTTTACAGGATATATTGCGACTGTGTATTTTGTGGGCAAAATGTGGCATCCCAATTTGTGCACAGCAATGTCCCACAAACAGTCATAGAGTGAATGACTAATTTTATCTGGGGCATTGCCAGCCAGGACACCGAATGGGAGAAACTCCGTTCTCTTAAAATAGTGTCTTGTGATCTTTAGCGTCCACTTGAACAGGCAGACGGGATTTTGGTTTAAAGTCTCATCGAAAGTATGGCACCTCCGACAATCCAGCACTCCCCCAGTATTGCAATGGAGTTTCCACATAGACTATATGGGTTCCAGGTCCGGGTGTGAGGCCTTGAACCCACAATCTTCTGACTCGGAGGCAAGAGTGTTACCAACTGAGCCAGGCTGACATTGATTCAATTTGATCTAACCTTAGAGAGGTTTTCAAAGTGAAAACAAACCTCACGCCACGATTGCAAGCACCAGACGTGACCTTTCTAAATGCCACATTTATCAGCGTGACAGGACATCATGAGAAAGGTCTGTGGCTGCAATTTGCCCCCAATGAAAGTCATCAATTATAATCTGATCACATGTGTATTGATTGGAACATCGCACATCAGAACAAAGCAGGGCACAACATCTGCACTGAATATTCCAGAACTGTAACCTCTCGCTGCTCACAGAATGGATCTTTCACAGTCATTGACAACACATGTATGTGCCTGATTCACTGAGATTATTGTAGCTGTCTTGTTTCCGGGATGCCCAAATGAGATGCACTTGGCTGCCTTCATTCCTAACCACAAGACTTTGTCCACTATTCTATTGTCTCGTATTTGACTTAAAACCTATCCACATCACGTAGATGTTGCTTAATTAGGAAAACACTTTAATCCCATGATCAATTATGCGCTTGTGAAACACTGGCCTGGGGCTAACACTGAAATATCTTCAGTCCTTCCTGGCAGAGTTTCAGGGTTCTGAAGGTTCTGTGAAATGGAATCAAGTCATCTTACATCGAGCCCAGTACACAATATTATTGCACATTCCAGTTATGACTGGTAGGATTTTGGTGTGTGTAGAGTTGCACAGATGAGACTCGCTTGATATCTAATCTTTTAAAATTGAGATTGAATCTGATCAATAGAGGCTGGTTTATAGTCAAATGAAATTGGATTGAGCACGGCACATGGTAAGGGCCAATTATAAAGCTCGACACAGATGCGCTTTATGCCATCAATTTGTTATGTTAATCAAACGGCTAAGCAATATTTTCATTCCTGCCATTTGTCAATCTTAGCACCAAGTGGAGTCCTCCTCATAGCTAATAATAATAATACATTGAGTAACATCAAAACATCTCAAGGTATTCTGCAGGTAATTGCTGAGGGCAAAATCAACTTGCACACAGTAATGTCCTGCAAACATTCATGAAGAGAATGACTAATTTATCTGCAGCACTGTTGGCCACGGAATTGAGAGAAACTCCGTTTTCTTTTCCAGTAGAATCATGGGATGCTTAATGTTCACCGGAACAGGCAGACAGAACTTCGAATGAATGTCTCATCTGAAGAACGGCATTTCTGGCAAATCAGCACTCCCCCCAACTCTGCTTTGGACTGTCAACCTAGATTCCGAGCTCAAAATGCCAATATGGGGTTGAATCAATAACCTTCTGACCCAGAGGCAAGAGGTGAGACCAACTGAGCCAAGCTAACATTGTAGATAAGAGGTAGAGAAAGCTCATGCATTGCATTGTTTGGCTACAGTCTGCCACTGTGATGTAAATAACATCTCCTGACCTCTTCTAAATTTCCCCTCACAACACATGTGATGGTTTCGTCAGCATGAAATGAAATGCGTTTCTGCTTGGATTCGGTGATTGCACCAAACACTCATAGGTCCGAACAGACATTACAACATTACAGATTGTTCAGTAGCAAAGAAAGGCAGATTGGTTCTTATAATGTTAGCGTTTCTCCCAAATTGATAATCAAGAATTAATTGGCTGAAATGACTCAACTGTTCGAGTGTGCGTGAGAGAGAGAGAATGTATTTCTAAGTAAAGGACTTGAAATAATAGCTGATGAAATAAATTAGACACCGCACCAGTCAGTGCAACGTTTGTAGACACGGCTAACTGTGTTCAGAGCGGTGGACAATCAAAACAGAACAGCAATCTCAACCACCTCTTCCCTATTCCAGCACTACTTCCTGTTTTCCAATCAACCTCTTGGTCTTACGTCATACACAAGAATAGCCTTTGTGCGCAATCACAGCTTTTCCTTGAGTTTCCATTCAGATTCCGGGAATGAATTTGCATTTAAAAGCCCCCAATAAAGCCAAATGCTTGCGGTGAGAAATGATGCCATGTAGCATTCCGTTACCCTTGGTTGGGCGTCTCAGTAACACAGACACACAGACAGGAGTGCCAGATGTGACGCAAGATCTGAAAGTAAAACTGTGGATTCCATGCTGGGACGGTGAGGCAGACAGTTACAATTAACGTCTTGGATTAAGTGTAGATTTAAACCCGCAGCGTTGGGTAACCCTCTAACTGGCCCATTTGTTTGTTTCAGCTGTCACTAGGAACAAATCAACCGAGTTTAAGTAGATCTTTCCACTCACAAAATATCCAGTCAATTCACTTTACAGTGTGTTCTGTGAAGCATTTTAAGACGTCTCGAAGACTTGATAAAGCGCTGTATCAAATGCAAGGATTATTATTATTATTATTATTTTTGTGATTTCGATCTTTTCTTTAAAAAAAAGTCCAAATTCCACAAAAAAATGATAACCCTTCCCCAAACTTAAAAGAGTAACAATTACTGCCTGGACCAGTGAAAGGGTTAAAGACACTTATTTGAATAACAATTGCACCTTCGATTATAAGAATTAAACCTTTGGGGTAGATAGAGAAGTATAGAGTTTGGAGTGAACCTTACCGGTAAGAAGCTTGAATGAAGTGAAGGAACAAATTCAGGAACCCAAATTAATCCCATTTTATCAACAGAGCCTTGACATTGAGCATGCAGGAGCACACCGCACTTAGTGTTAAGATGGGCCCCACCACTGCCAATCAGCAGGCTGTGTGATGCCCGAAAATCAGGACGGTTTAAGACCACTCAGCGATGTTAAGGATCGATTATGTTATGGCCAAGCGATTTTCTCTAATACCTCTCTTTAGAAACGATGATGCTCTCTGGAATATTGAAAGCCCTAATGAAGGAAAATGACATATGAGGGAAATGACATCATTTTTGTGGAAAAATAAAGGTTTCGAAACTGAAGACGGTATTAAAGTGAATTAAATGTTACATAGTCATGTTTAACTAACGTACACATAATGCATTCATTGAATCGAGTGATCAAAACTATTACCTTATGTTTTGACAGATGGTGTATATTACATCCATTATTTTGTATATACAGGGTGACTAAAAAGTTGTGATATTCACCATATCATCTAAAAAGAACCCCAAAATATCATTGCTTTAAGACTTATTAGACATTGTAATGGTATCACGACTTTTTGGTCACCGTATGTGTCCACAGAAACAGACTATTTGGCCCAACTCTCCGTGCCTGTGTTTATACACCACACAAGCCTCCAGCCCTACCAAGCACCTTGCCTTTCTATTCCCATCTCCTTCTTCTCCCCCTTCACGTAATATCTTGGTTACAAGAAACCGGACCAGCTGTTCCCTCTTAACAACTTGTTGACACATCACCGTTTTGGTGGGCAATGTCCTTCCTGGGTTGTGCGTCATCAGGATTGAGACCCAAGTGACCAATGTTAAATCCATGATGGACATAGCAGTCAGTATAAGGAATGACATTGATAGTACAGCCAGCAGGGAGAGTGCTTTCCTCTCGCTAGCACTGCACCTTCAGACATGCTTAGGACCTGCTTTTCCACCCCCCCACCCCTCGTGTTGGTGTTGGCTCACATACTTAGCAATATCACCTCGATCGCAAAAAATGCTTTGCATTGCGAAATGTATCCTTTTGAAAGGAAAAAGTGAAGTCTTCCAGCCTGCCATTACTTGTATGTGAATTTATTTATGAAGCCTCCTTCAGTATTCATTCATTAAGGCTTCTTTCTCTCTCTCTTTCTCTCTCTCTCATGTTCAATGGGTTACCCAGATCCAGGCATTTCCAATTACATTAGGTCTCTTGAATTTCTCACCACAATTATATATATTCGTGCTACATGAAGGATATTATCCACAGTTTATACAGAGTCGTTTGCTGTAAAAATCAACATCCTAGAAAACATGGTAAATTGCAATTAACATGTTTGCTTTTCCGCGACCCTTTTCAGTCGAGAAGATTAACACGTTTTAGTAACGGAAGCAAAAGATGTAAATGCCAAGCAACAAATAAATTAATTGTGCCTTACCGGATTTCTTCTTTCCGATCGGTTCCCTAAAATAAAAAAAAATGACAATTATTAATGGGGGAATAAAAACAGCTCAATTTTGCAACCGATTCACTTGAAGCCGGGTTGATAAACGACGCCTTTCAAATGGCAGAAAATTTGAACCAAAGGAACTTTGTGGAAAAAAAATTGCCAATAAAAAGTAACGCCTCAACATGGATTCCAAGATATCCCCTAATTATGAAGCGAGGACGTCATTTTGTAATCTGTTGTCAGACCCTCGGGATTCTGAATCTCAAGCCTCTGTTTACTTGCACTGAACCAGGAACCTGCTGTGGTTCTGTGTCAGGCTGATCCAGACCTTCCCCAATACTGGAGGGGAAAAAAAATGTTGTACAACAACTGGGGACGGAAAGAGGGGGAGGGGGGGAAAAAAGCACAAAAACTGGAAGTTAATAAGTATCTGCCTTTGTGTCTTTGGCAAATACACTTTAATATACACACGTGGGTACCTTCACTTCTAATAAGTATATATATTGCAAAAATAAATCAAATTACCATTGAATTTCTGTCCCAGATCAAGCTCAGTCTGTCCAATACAAACCCTCTGATAAATAGCATTACACTGGACATCGAGCAGCCAGAGCCAGAGAGGAAACTAAGATAAATTGAAGCCAGTTTTAAGAATCTCATGAAAAGGCCAATGTACAGAACCTAAGGTCACTTTAAACTGAACACATTCACTTGTATACACTACAATTGCAAAATTCTTTTCACGCCAATGGATGTGGATTTTACTCAACTAAAACCCAGGCCTTAGTTATTCAATCAAATATTTTGGTAATTCATTTAAAATTAACTAGGTTTTGAAATGAATGAATCTCTGTGCATGGATGTCTATTGGCTATCCAGCCACTATTTTTGCGACTGTGTTTCTCCCCATGGTCAATCCCAACTTAATTTGAGTTAAGTTTAAATAAATAGTAAATGAAAGATTTAAATAAATGAAACTTGAATGAACTCGGCAGATCACTGCAATTTGCCCATGTAAAGTACATTTCACGCAGAGCTCATCTCGAAGCGTTGTCTAAAGACCGAATGCGAGTGTGAGCCCGGAAATAAATGGGGGTTAGGGTGGGGCTCACACTAAGCAAACGTCACCAAGCAGCTTTCTTGACGTTCAATCACATCTAACGTGCTCTCTATCACTGCAAACTGGGTTACACATAATACAGTCAATTCACTTTACAGTGTATTCTGTGAAGCGGTTTCGAAGACGTGATAAGGGGCTATATCAAATGCAAGGATTATTATTATTATTTTTATTGTAACATGTGCTCTACGTGAACTAGACGGCAAACCAAGAAAGCATTTCCCATTTGTTCAGAATTTGCTTTAAATGTTCCACAATTAAGGAAAATAAGATTTCCCTGGGGAAATCTCAGTGATTGACAACAGTGTAGTTCGGTTAACACACAGCACATTACACACAAATACCATTTGCCTGAGAAAATTATTGCTGGTATTTAGTTCCTTGATTAGCAAATCTTGGCAAACTAAGAGGTGGCAGAGCACAATGGGCCAACAATGAATATAACACACTCCATGCCTGCAGGATAAAGTCATTACAAATGCTCACACTGAATAAATATCTCAATAACTAATTAACTAATAGCCAGACGTGGGAAAAGGACATGTAACAGCAATGATTGGGTTACTGTACTGCACTGAGAAACAGCATAAAACAGTAGCTACTTCAAATATGTAGTTACGTGCTCCTGCTACAGATCTGCTCTCTATCATTGCAAAGCGGGCTGAGTAATCTCCACTTAGAGAGAGCGAGAGAGAGCACGAGTCCCACACAATCTCCTCCAGAGAGACTCGTGCAAAACTGTGGCTTGTGCTTGGTTGCCCGGGAAACCTCTCATTTTCTTTGACCGAAACGAGCGAGGAACCTAGAACTAATTAGTTTTGATTTTTTTTTGAATCGTTGCACTAAAAAAAAAGTGCAGGTGACTGTTGGTGGGGTCAGTGTCCTCCCAACCTGTAATGTATACTGATCATATCTGCCCTCCTTTGTATAAACAATCACGTTAACTCAACTATCCAAACATTGGAGCTGCAATAGCGAGTTTCTACTGACTGAAGGAGTGTTTGAGTTTTCTACAACAGAAACTGGTCAGACACTGAGTAGTGATTAGTCCTGTACAATCCCACAAACCCAGTAGAAAAAGGGAAAGGTTCTCGAATTTAAACTTAAAAGAAGATGGTGACAGCTCAGATAACTGTGTCCCACAGCCTATAAATCCATTTAGCAGCCAATTCGAGAGTGAGTTCAATATGTACTTTACAAAGCTGTCATGTCTGAGCCACACAATATCTGGAATTTGTGTTGGGACTATTCGTGCATGGCCTGATGAAGTAAATAAATGTGTTCATTTATAAGGGACCGCATTCCTGATAGCGCTCTGTTCTGCTGCTACTCAATACTGTTTACCTCTTACCCGCACAACACGCTGACCTAACCTTACACTCTTTCCTCCCCGCTTCCCTTGATTAATATCTCTCAATTATGCGTTAAAATGTTACAAAATAGATACCTGTAAAGCTCTTTGATATGTCCTCCTGACGTGAAGTGCTCCAGGCCTCTACCTCACGTGAAGGGCACTATATAAATGCAAACTGTTGTTCTTGTGACGGCGTTATACCAAATTCAAACGAGCATCTTAACCACTAACACGACAGGACTATTTCATACACAAGCTACCCTTCTAATAATAAATGGACTTAAAATATTTTAAAGTGCTGCTTGTATCTGCCAAAGATCAAGTACATAAAGTTATTTATTTGAGCCTAGGCTTTGAAGCAGGCAATCTATTTTTATTATCATGAACACTCAAACACCAATTCTTTTAACCTCGGATTTTTCCTACTCTTCTGGTGTTGGCCTCCATTGGCCTGTGTTCTCTAAAGAAAACATCTACAAGACCTTGTTTATCCATTGAAGCAGTTGGTTTAGGAATTATTATAAGCGGAATGTTTTTGAAGCGCTGCCAAATCCGAATGCCAATCGTTAGGATTGAAAAATGACCTTCAATAAATCTGTCATGCCTGAAATTGTAGCTGATCAATTAGATTACAAACCTGCATTTACATCTGAGCTAAGAGGAAGCCAAGATCCACTGACATGCAGTATGTACCGAAAGCAGTTCACTGTCCTGCCCTTACTGTTATCAAAGCCACTACCTCGTGAAATGCTCTTGTGAATCCCAACAAAACACAGTCACTTCACTTTACAGTATATTCTGCAAAGCGCTTTGAGACATCTCAAAGATGTGATAAGGCGCTATATCAAATATACCCATAGATACAGGGCACCTCTCATTTCTAAGTTTAATTTTAGGGATAAATTGAGAGTCATTTTGTACTCATTGCCTCAAAACAGGGATTTCATTAAAACTTACAATGGAAAATCAGTGCACAATAGAATTCAATGTCAGACCTTTCAATCTATCCCTGTGATTGTTTGAGTACGTTTACTTCGGAAGTGCATGCTCGAAGAGTATTTACCCTCAAGGTTACTCCAATTCAAGGACAGGACTTGTTTACAGCGGTTACAGCTTCAGGCGTTTATAGTATCATCTTCACTTGCAATAGCCTCACAGCTCATCACGATGCACATTCTCAGCCATGAAGATACAGAACATTGTTCCCTTCACACCCACTCGCCCGATGGGAGATCATCAGATTACTCCACCTGTGCTAATTTGCTGTTGGTTAAGTGTCACTCAGCCCATGTTATTGAGTTTCCTGAAATAACGTTGCTGTTTGTTTGCTGTTGATTGATTTACAGACATTTTAATCTCTTAACTAAGAGTTTCATGCTTTGCATTGTTGTCTTTGCTCCAAGATGGAGTTGCAACCTACTATTTCGAAATATTACCATATTCAAAATAATATCCCAGGACATTAGGTCACAAGTTAAGACATTTTCATTTCAAAAAATCCAGTGAAACAAACTCCACAAACATGGGATTGAGCAATATTCCTTACCAGATGAACAAAATAGATTTCACAATGCCTTGTTATGATTTCAGTCAAACGTAGGGAATCATCAGCGGCTCTCAGTAAATTGGCCAAGTGGCCTTTTTCCCTCGAGTTACTGAAGCAATGATTCACAAAGCGCTAGATATTCCTGCTTTTACAGCAGCCAGCCTCCATAATGTCTGTATCCAAAACCTGCTCACAGTTTACTCTGTGCTTTGAATTTTATCAGCTATACAAACTAAAGATCACAATTTGTGACAAAGATTATAGATGTTTCCAGGATTAAGGTTGTGTTCTCTCTAATCTTCCTAACTCGGGCAAGCAGTTTCCGTAATCTCCAATGCTTTGAAGGTCTAACCGTGCCTCTCAATATGGTGCCTTTGATGCAGTAATTACTGTGTAGATCATTCATTTACAAAAAAGGAGCTGGGTGCAGACCAGGTTAAGAACAGAACTAAAGGCTTTAGGTTGCAGCACATAAATGGTACTGTTTACGGTCCTACTGAGCGCATGGAATGTTATCTGTAAAATGCAGTCAAACAGCGGTAAATAACACCGACTGTTATAGTTACACAGAGTGTTCCTGACAGAGCTGCAGCTTTTGCCGGATTACTGTTGAGGGCAAGAAGATGATTCAGAGCTTCTACTGCTTGGAAATTCCCACACAAGACGAAATAAATTGGTTGATGGGCTGAATGACCTTTCCTTGTTCCAATTGTTTCAAATACTAACAATTCTGGCAGGTATTTAATTTTCCCCAATGCGTGGAGCAAAACGTGCGAAGGCATGAGAGATGGAAGGACACAAACTGTCACATTATAAAGATACAGAGGGAAAAACATATCCAGCAACAGCAGTCGTTCACCTACAAATCCACTCCACTCCACAGTATATCCTCTGAAGCACCTCAAGACGTTTCAACAACTTGATAAGGCGCTGTATCAAATGCGAGGATTATTATTTTTCAAAAGAGAGAGGGAAATGTGTGAAAGAGAAATGTATACAATGGCAATCCAAGGAATTAATCTGGCATCAGTATTACATCTATTTGCTCAAGCTACATTTGTGATTGAAGTGCCAAATAGCGCTTTAAATTCACACCAAGCGATAAAAACAGCTCAGCTGAAATAGTTAATCAACTCATTCTCTAGATTTTGAAAGAGATGAAATGAACGCTGTCAAATGTTAAATTTCTTCAGTGACGCTCTGATTTGCGCTCTGAATACTTCCTTATAAAGCGTGAGGATATAAGAGGACACACATATGAAGCGCTGAGTTTTATTTAACAACCTTTTCATCGCCTGGCTGCCCTATCTTGGGTTGCTGTGAAACCTCCTCCAGACCTGCCTAAAGCAAGGTGTGGAATGGCAGTGGGCAATGATCTAAAGTAACCCCTAATCTTTACTGTTTTGCTTTTAATCTTTATTCTGTTGTGGGCCTGTAAGGTGATTTCCTCCTAGCTTTTGTTGCCCATCAGGCCGCTGGCATATCCTGGGCGAGGTGGGACTGCCCTTCTCTGCTCCCAGAAGCCGAGGAGTAAACAGAATTAACATTGCACTGATCGTAGCTGATCACTAAAGAGTAACCCTATGTAACAGGCTGCCTAGGGAGACGGTTCAAGCAGGAAATGTTGATTCCTTCAAACACAGATCAGATAGTTTTGTTTTAGGAAATAACATAATGGGATGTAGTACATAGAGAGTTTGGGACATATGTGCAAGCCACCGCCAGGAAGGTAGAAGGTGAACATTTTTTCGTCCAGCACTTCTTTTGTTCTTATGTTAAAGCTGCTTACCTGGCTATTACCCCTTTAAAGTAAAAACAGTTTTAAGCTGTTAAATGAAAACATTTGAATCCCTTTATCTGGGACTGAATTTTCATTCTCTTTCAATCTTTTTATGCTACTTGACAACTTTTTGGTCTAAAATAATAATGATAATAATAATCCTTGCATTTGATACAGCGCCTTATGTCTTCGAGACATCTCGAAACGCTTCACAGAATATACTGTAAAGTGTATATTCGTGGGCGAAACCCAGCAGCAAATTGCACACAGCAGTGTCCCACAAACGGTCGTGGATTGAGTGACCAAATTACTATTTTTTTTTTGGATTATTATCCCCGGAAAAGCGATCTGCCAATCAAGCATCAACCGGGTTCCTACTTACTGCTAGGTAAACAGAGGCGTGTAGAGTAAGGAAACTTGCCCAACATTTCGCCCTGCCAGGAATAGAACCCAGGTCTCTCATTTGTGAGGCGAGTGCTATAACCAGTGAGCTACAGGATTACATATTTATTGTTAACATTCAATACGTGCCGCTTGCTGTGTGATATGCAATTCACTGAAGATACTCACTCTTTAGGTGGGTTCACATCCTCCGGTCTTGTCTCAAAGAACTGAAGAACCTCGTCGCACTGAGAGATGTGGATTGGCAGTCGGATAAGAGCCTGGAAATCATCAATCAGTAAATAATAAGGACATAATTCAAGTGGTAAATTTAAAGCTATCCAGAAAAGTTCAACCCTGAGACCAGACTAATGTGTCTGAATAGAAATGGTCTCCATATATTTGTATTGATTTCAAATCAATATCGACAGGTTCTATGGCCTGAGTGTGGTGCCATGAGTTTCATCTTACGGTCGAATAGGAAACGCGCGACCTGAAGATGGCGAAGGAAGGGGCCAGGCGGAGGGATAGAGGGAGAGGGTGACTGAGCTTTGGGGTATAGTGGCTGAAAGCGTGGCCACCAATGGTGGAACGGAGAGATACGAGGGACATGCGGAGGCTGGAGCCAGCCAGTGAATTCACACAATCCTGAAGAAAAAGTGCAATCAAAGAGGGACATCTTGAGGCGTGCTTTGTGCTTTGAAAGTGGGGTGGAGAGGCGGTGAGTCAGAGGGAATCCGGCATGGGCAAAATGGATGAAAGCTCACCTGCCAACGCTGGGGCAGATAATGTACATTAAGTGCAAACGTTCTCGTGCAACCTAACGCTCTGGGCAGGATCTGACGCCTCTCTTTCAAGAAGATTTGCCACGGGACAAGTTGTTTAATTGACACCCCCGGACCACACGTCATCTCAAGGAACACGACAGTGGTTAACGTAAAGAGATAGCAGTGAAGCATATCCACCGAGTCCTATCAGGATAAAGGATACCTTTTGCCCGTTTCTCTCATCACATCCTGTATTGTGTCCATTTCCTTAGCCCTCCTCCAAGTCCACTGCAGCAGAGCGAAGGAAACAATAACCTTGTAAGAGGACATGTTTATCCTCCCCTTCAATTTACAAACGACACAGACTGTGTGAGTTGCCTGCACTGGACCTGAGTGATTGTTGGTGCAACAACACAGGACATGAATACTCTGAAGAAATTTTGATCGGCATTTCATCGTTACAAATGTCCCAGGGAAGAAAGAAAATGAAAAGAGTCCTCAAGGTGCCCGGACTTGACCAAATGAGCTACATCCAATTCATTATTCACCCTTTATTCAATTTCGCTTGTGCATGGCACATTTCATCCATCTGTTAAAGACATCAGTGAAATCTTGGGTGTAAAAGCCAATTTCAGAGCAGCACTATCTTCGAACCAGCTGAGTTCCTGTCAACGCTTTTCTGAACTTCCCTACTACAATCAGGCCAGGAAGCTGACTGTAATGGGATTTTCAGCTCTTAGTCTGACCACAGGCTCCAGTCAAAATCATCCAATTTACTCCAATGGACCTTTGGAAGTTCACCTTCCAAAGGAATTTCTACTGAAACATCAGCTTCCACAGTGGTATTTAGTGATGAGCACGATTAAAATCACGACAGGAGAGTTTCACGATTTTCCCGAGGCCAAATGCTTCACGTTGCTTCAAATGAGATTGCAGTTTTGAAAGCCTTCTTCAAACTTTACCATTAAAAACTGCAGACACCACAGTCCTTCAATTGCCTTTTGCCAATAGCAGAGTTATTAGTAGACTGCGAGACAATGGTAATTTATACTGGCTTCAAGACAGGCTCATGAAATGTAGATATATGTGTCCCGCCACCTTGGTGGCCCCAACCATTAGACAATGACTAAGATGCAGCAGACTACAGGGAGCAGATAATGGCAAAGGCTTTTACTGCTGTATTAGAAGCCAAGGCATGATAGAGCATTACACTAATTGTCTGGTCTGAGGGAAGTGGCAGCGTGCTGTGAATACACAATTAGTCTGTTGGGAAGGACGTTATCTAAGTCACTCTGATGTTTATACCAGCTTTTCCTCAAGCTCCGAAAATCAGCCAGAGTTCACCTCAAACCGCAGCACTCCCAAATCTTAATCTACGGGAAAGTTATAATAAAAATAATAATAATCCTTGCGTTTGATATAGCGCCTTATCACGCCTTCGAGATGGCTCAAAGCGCTTCACGGAGTATACTGTAATGTGAATTGAACACATGGGTAAAATGCGGCAGCCAATTGCGCACAGCAGTGTCCCACGAACAGTCGTGGATTGAGTAGATGAAGGGATACAGCAATTCAAGTAACAACTAAACTCATTGACGTGATGTTCTGGGCATCACCACCAGGACACAGGCAACTGCTCTGTGAAGCAATTTTCAGACAAACATCAAATAAATATATTTAAATAGAACACATGAAACAGATGTGAACACAGTACAGTGCTCCCCTGTTGTAGCTTTCTTCTCTTTTAAGAACAGACCTCTCGGGGGTATGGCTTTTGATAATAATAATAATAATAATCCGTGCATTTAATATAGCGCCTTATCACGTCTTCGAGACGTTTCAAAGCGCTTCACAGAATATATGTAAAGTGTAGCGACTTTATATTTTGCGGCCGAAATGTTATAACTGCAAATGATTTTCAGTGTAGCAAAACTCTACTCTCTGAGCTTTAAAAAATACGTAAATTATACAGTGACTGGGAGGAGGGGGAAGGAAATTCTCGCTGCTGATGAATGATTCTATAGGAACTAAAGCAACCACAGAGCAGGACTTTCCGCCCAACCCTGCACATACTATTTTTCGGAAGCCTTACATCAGGCTCGAGCAGCTGCGCTAACAACTGTTTGATGCCACATTTAGGGCGATCAGCAAATGGCTTTCCATTATTAATCAACCGTGTATTTCAAACATTCGTCATTTCCAGCCACAGATACACCATCAGAGTCTTTGATGTGTCATCGGTGAACAACACTCCCATCAGCCGGAGTGATGAAGCCCTGTGTGCTGTGGGTTGTCACTGATGCCTGGGCTTGAGATACTGTGAAAATTATCTCACTTGCCCGGACCTGACACACAGCAGATACCATTCCACGTGGTGACTTCGCAATGGTTACTGTATGCTAATAATCCTGCATTTGATACAGCTCCTTATCACGTCTTCGAGACGCCTCAAAGCTCTTCACAGAACATACTGTACAGTGAATTGACTGTAGATATTGTGGGCGAAATGCGGCAGCCAATTGCGCACAGCAGCGTCCCACGAACAGCCGTGGATTGAGTGACCATTTTTTTTCCTGAATCTGTAAATGTTTCAATTCCCTCGCTCTCATTCTCTCCCTGGTTAAAATTAATTACACACATTTGTTTAAGATTGCATTCTCTTAAAAGTCATATTCACATCAATTTCCTTTGGGTAAGAAACCTGGCTCACAAATCATACGTGCACCAAGTGGTCAGCTTTAGCTCAGCGTTTGCTGGAGCGTAAAGAGACCAGGCCAATCCAGAAATTACAGAATGAAACCCTGATCTTTCTCTCTGCTGCCTCTTTACTCTCCCAGGCCATTTTTTTTTAACTTGCGAGCAAAGATTATTGGATTGATGAGCACTCTAACTGATGTTTCACATCAACCCACGTAATAAGATCTTTGGTAATTAAATTATATTAGCAGCCTGGAAGGGAATCGGATACTGACAACACTGCACTGTCTGGGGTGAGCACATTACCTGGATCACAGATTTCAAGATGGGAAACACACATTTCAAATGGCAGACCGTTTGGTCAGGAAAGCAGGATTGCTTTGCTCCGTCTGAAAGTGATCATCTGTGACTGAAGCTATTGTCTACAGCAGCTGCCTGTCTGTCCAGTCATCGTTTCAAGGCATCTCGTCCACAAAATATAGTCAATTCATTTTACAGTATATGCTGTGAAGTGCTTTGAGATGTCTCGAAGACGTGATAAGGCGCTATATCAAATGCAAGGATTGTTATTATTGTCTCAAAGCCACTGTTACCATTAGACGCCTCAATGAGGTCATACAAATAACCCAGCGCCAAAAAGCGTCATTACGGAAAATGTAGAGTTTGTAAAAAGCAGTGAAATGAGCCCCAGTAGCTGCGGTCCAGACTCCAATAAATGTGTCTGACGTAATCCATACACTAAATGCACCGATCTATGAAACCGAAATTCGCAACGACAACGTGAAATGCAGTAAATAATCCTCTGTGATGACTTTCCATATAACAGATTCTTAGCGCTCTTGTTTACAGTTACACAGCTCACCAACGACCAGTTTAATATGTCACGGAAAGACCATTCCCACACAGAGACACAGGAATGTTGTTAAGGGCTGTTTCCCATCCATCAAAAGCTGCAGTCGGTGGCTTCGCACCATCTCTCAGGAGCTGACCTTTTATTGATTTGGATTTAATACATTAATAAGGCGACTAAATAATCAATTGATTTCAGTCAGCTTGGCCCTTGGACTGATGGCATATACATAATCTCAATTATTACCAATGTAAAAGATTATGTTGCGAGTCTTTAATCCACAACCTATGGACTCGGAAGCGAAAATATGAGTGATTGAGCCCAGTTGACACTTGGGATTATTATTCGAATATCTTCAGAATGGTTCCCGAGCTGTCACTAGCTATTAAAGCTCTATGGGATAAGCAGGACTGATCCAATCCAGACTCATTCGCCGACCACATTAATAGTGTAAGCATGGAAACAAATGGTAGTAAAAGCAGAACCTCAGAACCTTGCCAGTAATCGACTATCTAAACATCCAAAGAGCAGAACAGCTTCCTGTAAACTCTGCATCTTTCAAGTCTCTTTGATCTGTGGAATCAAACAGACCTCAGCAAAGCGCAGTAGCATGAGTTCCACATTGACCACATTCATATCAGCAGTTTACCATTCACTAAATAAACATCTAACCGTCACTGCCCACCTACACACACACACACACACACACAAAACAACTTGCATTTTATATAGCGTCCCCTCACGCAAGCTAGCATCCCAGAGTGTTTGGGTTCACACACCCCCGTTAATCACAGCACTCTCAATCCACTCTCAATCGTACAGTAATGTAGCTTTACAGAACAAAACCACAGACAAAAGCAATTTACATTCTTCGCTGTTTTCACAAGTGTGCGAAAAACACTTTTCAAGAGCAGTCGTCCAACGGCAGGGAGCACGCCAAGGATAACAGACTGCGTTTTCTCTGATGGAAGCACTTTTTAAAAAATATTTAAAACCAACTCTAATGTCTCCTCTCCTGGAGCCAACGACTGAACCCGGGGACAATCCCACACTCCTCAGCCATCTGCCTCATCTAAGTGACCTCCACTTATACCCCATGCGGAAGGCTTGAGAATCTGTACGGCTCATTCCTACACAATGGGGGTGTCTTTACTCAGTGAGAGATCAAGAAAATCCAACGATGAACTTTCATTCAAAATATCAATTTTTGGCAACGCAGCCCAGTATTTTTCACTTCGCTTATCTCATTGCTCGGATTACCTGTCCTGTGGTAACCACACAACTGAAACACCGAGAACAGAAAGGCAGAATACTGCAGGTGCTGGAAATCTGAAGTAAAAACATCAGTCGCTGGGAACATGCAGCAGATCAGGTAGCATCTATGGAGAGAGGAAAATGAGTTAACGTTTCAGGTCTATAACCTTTTGTCAGAACTCACGACGAAAGGTTACTGACCTGAAACTTTAATAACTCATTTTCCTCTCTCCATAGATGCTGCCTGACCTACTGCGTGTTCCCAGTGACTTCTGTTTTTCTATAAAACACGGTGAAGCAGTTTTGAGGAAACAATGCCAGGTATTACTGAAACATCTAACAAGATGGTGTGTTACACACTGAGCAGCTAAGTTATTTTAGACCAATGTCGACCGTTATGCTTCAGACTCCAGCCTTACTGTACAAGGAAATATTTGTCTCAATCGAGGAACTTTAGAGATGGGGAGACTGAAATAAACAGGATTCTCTGTGATCTCTGCTGGAGCTAGCCTGCACTTACCCTGCAATACTCATCGATCGGTTTCAGCCGCTTCACTGCAACATCCCTGATGTGACTTCGTCTGAAGAGGATTTTACCTGAAACAGAAACAGACAGGAACTTGTTAGTCAATCACACACGGATTCCATTCAACCAGGTCCATGAGGAGAGAACATCCAACTTTTTGGATGAACTTTGCCAACACTGCAAACAAAGATAGCAGCTCGTCCAATTTCCAGTGAGTACATTAAGCGCAGTTTAACAGAATCTCAAACAGTCAAGTTTTATAATAATAATAATCCTTGTATTTGATATAGCGCCTTATCACATCTTCAAGTCGTCTCAAAACTCTTCACAGAACACTGTAAAGTGAATTGACTGTATATTTTGTATATACAAAAACTGAAACAATTATACAACTAACAACAACAACAAGATTTCATTTATAGAGTGCCTTTCACGTCGGGAGGACGTCCCAAGGCTCTGGACAGTTGGGTCGGGACCCGAGCAGGGGGGAAATGGTCAGGGTGAGGGGAGGGAAGGGAGGGAGCGAGGAGGGGGTAGAGAGTCGAGAGGGGAGCTGAAGGCTGAAGGTCAAAGAGAAAGGTCTTGAGACCGGCCTTGAAGGAGGAAAGGGAGGAAGCGGCGACGGCACTGGGGGATGGAGTTCAGAGCCTCGGGGCTGAGAGGCTGAAGGCCACCGATGGTAGGGCGGTTGGGGCGGGGGATGTGGAGCAGACTGGAGCCAGAGGAACGGAGAGGGTACGGGCAGGTAAGTAGGGGGATAGTAGGTCGGAGAGGTAGGAGGGAGCGAGGCCGTGAATGGCCTTGTAGGTGAGGATGAGGATCTTGAATTCGATCCTCTGGGGGATGGGGAGCCAGTGGAGGTGAGGGCGAGGGTGGGAGTGATGTGGTCCCGAAGCCTGGTGCGGGGCAGTACACGAGTTGCAGTGTTCTGGATGACCTGCAGTGTGGAGGGAGGTGCCGGGAAGGCCGGCGAGGAGAGAGTTCCCATAGTCCAGCCTTGAGGTGATAAAGGCGTGGACCAGAGTTTCAGCCGCATGAGGGGTGAGGTAGTGCCGTAGTCTGGCGATGTTTCGCAGGTGATGGAAGGCGGTGCCAGTTGTGGCGCGGATATGAGGAAGAAAGGACGGCTCAGGGTCGAACAGAACCCCGAGGTTCCTGATGGCTTTGAGAGGTGGAGAGTGCAGCCTTGGATGCTGATGCTGTCAGCGCCTGAGGTGCGGAGGCGCTGACGTGAGCCAATCAGGAGGGCCTCAGTTTTGCGCACGTTGAGCTGAAGAAAGTTGTCTCTCGTCCAGGACTCGATGTCGGACAGACAGCTGTCAGGACATCGGGGGTCGTGGAGTTGAGGGTAGAGGAGGAAAAATAGAGTTGGGTATCATCCGCATACATGTGGAAGTTAACCCCATGTCTGCGGATGGTGTCACCAAGGGGGAGCATATAGAGGGTGAAGAGGAGGGGATTGAGCACAGAGCCCTGAGGGACACCGCACGAGACGGTGCGGGGGGTGGAGGAAAAGCCGTTTGTGGAAACAAAATGAAGACGGCGGGAGAGGTACGACCTAAACCACTCAAGGACAGGGCCTTGAAGGTTGAGGTAGGAGGACACGCGGTGAAGGAGGATAGCGTGGTCGACCGTATCGAATGCGGCCGATAGGTCGAGGAGGACGAGGAGGCAGAGGGAGCCCTGGTCGCAGATGGTCCAGATGTCATTGGTGACCTTGACCAGGACGGTTTCTGTGCTGTGGGCAGCACGGAAACCTGACCGAAGGGGTTCGAATAATGCATGGATGGAGAGGAAAGAGTAATTTGTTGTTGTTGTCACTGCTGCACATTTGGAAAACACATTGTGGTTCCAAACACTTTATTGAAATCAATTTTCTTCAAGTGATATACGAAAATGTCATATAATAATAATCCTTGCATCTGACATAGCGCCTCATCACGTCTTCGAGACGTCTCAAAGTGCTTGAAAGAACATACTGTAAAGTGAATTGACTGTATATTTTGTGGGCGAAACGCGGCAGCCAATTGCGTACAGCTGTGTCCCACGTACAGTCATGCATTGAGTGATCAAATTATTATTATTATTTTTTTTGAAGGAATTGTTACCCCCAGAGGAACAATCGTCACCAGCCTCTCAGCGCCAGAGGTAGCCAAGTGAACCCAGAATGCCAGGAATTAACCTAGCTGTTGTCGAGTGTGATACGTCTCATTTATTCCAACTTGGCATAGCTGGTGGTAAAAATTTCTTTTTGTTTAGCTGTAATTAAAGATGGAACGACCCCCAAATATTTGTTTGAGTCTGACTAAATAATTATTCGACTATTACAAAGGTCATAGCTAAAGAGGTTGGCCTGCTAACAGGCTCTGTGCACATCCAATGTAAACATATTTAAGTATTTGCAGAATAAACGAGTTCAGACATCCAATTCCTTACACTGGCAATATCTGCATTAAACATGTAATAACTCTTGTGATGTATTACTACAAACGACAACAACCACAACAAGATTACATTTGTATCGGGCCTTTCACGTCGGGAGGGCGTCCCAAGGCGCTGGAAAGTGTACCGCATTTCAGACCCGAGCTGGGGTCAGGGGGGAGAAGGGAGGGAGGGGAAGGGGGGTGATCGATGGCATGGTCGAAGAGGAGGGTTTTGAGGCGGGACTTGAAGGAGGCTAAGGAGGGGGCGAGGTGGAGTGATTGGGAGATGGAGTTCCAGAGGTTGGGGGCAGAGTGGCTGAAGTCTCTCCTGCCACTGAATTAACTGTATGTCCAGGTTACCTATCGTTGATCAGAGCGGTTCACAGTAAGACATGGACAGATTCATCCACCTCCAATGAGAGGAAGAAAGCCCCAGCTTTGACCAATTGCAACCATCTCGCTGAGTTTAGCGCTCACGGAATTCGCCCCAACATTCACTCGCTCAGTGACACCAAGAATTCCTGCTGCAGAAGCAACAACAAAAACAATATTATATTTGTAAAGCTTTGTTCACGTCAGGAGAACAGTCAGGGATCAGGACCCGAGCATGAGATGGGGGGCAAGGCTAGGATGAGGGAGGGCAAAGGGGGCAGGAGGGCGGCTGAAGGCACGGTTAAAAAGAAGGGTCTTGAGTCGTGCCTTGAAGGAGGCAAGAGAAGGAGGGAGCAAGGCAAAGGGATTGTGGGATGGAGTTCCAAAGAGTGGGGGCAGAGAAGCTGAAAGCCCAGCCGCCGATGGTAGGGCGGGTCGGGCGGGAGGCCTGGAGCAGCCCAGAGCCTGCTGAGCGGAGGGAGCGGACAGGTTGATAGGGGGTCAGCAAGTCAGAGAAGTAGGAGGGGGCGAGGCCATGGAGGGTCTTGAAAGTGAGGATGAGGATTTTGAATTCTATCCGCTGAGGGTTGTGGAGCCAGTGGAGCCGGGTGAGGGTGGGGGTGATAGGGTCACGGAGCCTGGTGCGGAAGACGACATGAGCTGCAGAGTTCTGGATGATCTGCAGCTTGTGGAGGGAAGCGTTGGGGAGGCCGACAAGGAGGGAGTTTCCGTAGTCAAGCCTTGAGGTGGGTTTCGGCGGCCTGAGGGGTGAGGCAGTGGCGGAGTCGGGCCATGTTGCAGAGATGGGGGAAGGCAGAGCGGGTCATGGCATGGATATGGGAGAGAAAGGACAGTCGAGGGTTCCTGACTGGCTTGGTGAGGTGGAGAGTGCAACCATGGATGCTGATGATGCCAGTGCCTGAGGTGCTGAGAGAGCCAATCAGGAGGGCCTTGGTCTTGCTGACATTCAGCTGTGGAAAGTTGGCTCTCATCCACGACTTGACGTCAGTCAGGATGTCACTTGTCCTGGAGTCGAGGGTGGAGGCAGAGTGATAGTGTTGGGTGTCATCCGCATACATGTGGAAGTTGACCCCATGTCTGGATGATGTCACCAAGGGAAAGCATGTCCTTTCTCCCTCACATCCGCACCACAACTGGCACCGCCTTCCATCACCTCCGGAACATCGCCAGACTACGGCATTACCTCACCCCTCACGCCGCTGAAACCCTGGTCCACGCCTTTATCACCTCAAGGCTGGACTATGGGAACTCTCTCCTCGCCGGCCTTCCCGCCACCTCCCTCCACAAGCTGCAGGTCATTCAGAACTCTGCAGCTCGTGTACTGTCCCGCACCGGGCTTCGGGACCACATCACTCCCACCCTCGCTCGCCTCCACTGGCTCCCCATCCCCCAGAGGATCGAATTCAAGATCCTCATCCTCATCTACAAGGCCATTCACGGCCTTGCTCCCTCCTACCTCTCCGACCTACTATCCCCTACCTACTTGCCCGTACCCTCCGTTCCTCTGGCTCCGGTCTGCTCCACGTCCCCGCCCCAATCGCCCTACCATCGGTGGTCGGGCCTTCAGCCTCTCAGCCCCCAGGCTCTGGAACTCTATCCCCCAGTGCCTTCGCCTTGCTTCCTCCCTGTCCTCCTTCAAGGCCGGTCTCAAAACCTTTCTCTTTGACCGAGCCTTCAGCTCCCCTCTCGACTCTCTTCCCCCTCCTCGCTCCCTCCCTTCCCTCCCCTTACCCTGACCATTTCCCCCCTGCTCGGGTCATGACCCAACTGTGCAGCGCCTTGGGACGTCCTCCTGACGTGAAAGGCGCTTTATAAATGGAATCTTGTTGTTGTTGTTGTTGTAGAGGTTGAAAAGGAGGCAACCGAGGACCGAGCCCTTTGGACTTGAAGAAATATAGCATTTCCTCACAGTCAGAGCTTGAGGAGAGAATGGGTGAGGCGTGGGAGGGTGGACGGAGGAGGCGGTTGGCGGTGGAGAGTAAGAACCTGGGGATGTCCTTTGCCTCTAATAATAATAATAATAATAATCCTTGCATTTGATATAGCGCTTTTCACGTCGGGAGGACGTCCCAAAGCGCTTCACAGAACACACTGTAAAGTGAATTGACTATATTTGTGGGCGAACGCGGCAGCCAATTGCGCACAGCAATGTCCCACAAACAGTCGTAGATTGAAAATGACCAATTTATTATTGTTTTTGGATTAAGATTATCTTGGAATAGAAGGGTGATTTGGTGGAGGCGAGGGTGGAGCGG